AAACTGTTTTCATTTGACAGAAATCTTGAACGAAATGAAATTGAAGACCTACCTGTAGGGACGTTTGGAGCACTATCCAAGCTACAAATCCTGTAAGTAGATCAATACTTTACTCCAGCGAGTGATAGATTCTTGTTTCAGGGCTAAAGCACTTTATCCTCACTTATTTAGTGAGAGAAGAAAACAGATAGATTATCAGTTATCGAGAAATATCTTATACACACTTAAATAAGCCTTTTTTTCAGAGTTTATTTCATGCGCTCTTTTAATTACATGGTTTGGGAACTTCGTGTTATTCTGTGAATCCAATTTCATTAATTTGCCTATCAGTAAGCAACAGGGTTTATGTTTTTACTAGGCAGGTGTTTTTAATCGCCCTTTAGTGATTTTTAAATTGCTCATTTTAGTTTGTTGTTTTTTAAAAGGAATTTAGGTTCTAATAGACTGCCGCGTTTACCAAAAGACCTTGTCAAACATCTGAGTACTTTGCAGGAACTGTAAGTATCAAAGCATCCTCCGATTTATTATACCTACTCGCAATTCCAACAGCACTCAACTGAGAAAGTAATCAGACTTAAGATTTCCAAAACAGGTTTTTTTTTTTGTATTTTGATAAATTGAATTTGATTTTTAAATAATTTCATCTATTCCAATGTTTATTTGCACAGTAAACACCAAGAAATACAAAGCAATAGGCCACTCCCGATTTCCAAAAACCCTCACTTTTAAAATGAGGCCAAGCAGGATCCGAGTATACAACCTTTAGCTACCTTTCTTGTGAAAATGAGTTTTAATTGCATGCATCCAAAAAAAAGAAAGGTAGGTGAAGTAATCCGCCTGTCCATATAATCTCTCATTTTAATCTGACCATATTTTTTTTTCAGAGTTTATTTCAAGCGTTCTTTTAATGACATTGTTTGGGAGCTTCATGTTATTCTGTGATTCTAATTTCATTAATTTGCCTATCATTAAGGAACGGGTTTATGTTTTTACTAGGCAGTTGTTTTTAATCGCCCTTTAGTGATTTCTCTGTTTCTCATTTTGGTTTGCAGTTTTTTAAAACGAATTTAGGCTATAATAGACTGCAGCGTTTACCAAAAGACATTTTCAAAAATCTCGGTACTTTGCAGAAACTGTTAGTATTAAGGCATGCTCCGATTTATTGTACCTGCTCGCAATCCCACCATCACTCAACTAAGGAAGTAATCCACTTAAGATTTCCAAAACAGGTCTCTTTTTTTCTATTTTGATAAACTTGAATTTGATTTTTAAGTAATTTCATGTATTCCAGTGTTTATTTGCACAGTAAACACCCATAAAAACAAAACAATTTAAAACTAGACATGTATACATCACACACACTCGTGACATACTGATAAACACGCCCTAGAACATTTTTCCTGTATTTACATATGAAATAATGTAATGCAGATATGCGGCGACAGAATCGTTTACTAATATGATCTGTATTGCCCTTCATATTGTGGGTCACAAATTTATTTTCTGATTTTGCAATCATTGCCACGATTAGGGTCTACAACATACCCTTACTTGTGCTAAATCTATTGGTTGCAGTGGCCGTAAGCATGTTTTTCGAACTCTTACTTATATACCATTTTTTGCTATTTTGCTGAGGTCCCTTAATAATGAACGTTTTCTAATTCTTTAGAAATGTTTCTGGCAACGTGATTAAAGAGCTTCACAATGAGACGTTCATGAATTTGCGGTCACTCTTACGACTGTAAGTATTATATTGGCTTCCTTAGCTTCCTATGATTTGGAATTTTCCTCACAGTATTTACTTCTGTAAGACTAGCTAGGAAGGGTATTTCAGTAGGGAATATTATTGCAGTCGAAAGTCGAAAAGGCAACATTACTTCTTCTGTCATTCTACTGCAAAATTTCCGGGAGAAGATGAGACTTCATGTCCCTCTTCTTCAAACCTTTTTTTAGTAAATGGGAATGATTTATGCAATGAAAAACCGCTGTTCCTGAACTAAATTTACTAGTCCTATAATGGTTTCGTTAAGTGTTTTGTTCTATTTTCGTGTTCTTGTTACTAATAATAATAATAACTATGCATATGCAGTCGTAGGTCGTACCAGTCCCCAGCTCGTATAGAACCGGGGGGGACTCCCATATGAAAGGGGTGGGGATGCTCGTCGGAAATTTTGAATTAAACCCCTGAAGGAGATCAATCTGGGCGTGGCCCAACCTTTTTTGATCCCCAAAAGCGATCATTTTAAACTTTGATTACATGAATAGAGTAAATAAAACGAATTGAACATAAATAGCTTTTTAATACTTCTTCGCGTGCAACCCTAAAAGAGACGTTTACGGCTAAATATAATGGTGTTTTGCCCAGAACACCCTAAGCGAGACCAAAATCTGAAATTTACACCCCTGAGCGAGACGACGAGCATCCCCGCCCCTATCAAATGGAAGTCCCCCCGGTTCAGAACATGGCTAATAGGCAATTAAGGTGGTAGTTGTGATGAAGAGAGTTGACCGTAAAAGGAACTTTGTAAAATGCAACTCTGAAATCTTGTTTTTAATCTTTCCCAAAAACGTTTCCCAGTTAAATGTACATTCTTATCCCCATAACTATGCATTAAAACTGTTTTCATTTGACAGAAATCTTGATGGAAATGAAATTGAAGACCTACCTGTAGGGACGTTTGGAGCACTATCCAAGCTACAAATCCTGTAAGTAGATCCATACTTTACTCCAGCGAGTGATAGATTCATGTTTCAGGGCTAAAGCACTTTATCTTCACTTATTTAGTGGTACAGTTTTGATGACTAAAATTCGTCCTGAGCAACAAAGAAAATGTAAATTGTAAAATTCTTTCACTTAATGTTCGAGGAATTAGATCGTGTGATAAAAGAAGAGATCTGTTTATTAATAAACAGAGAGCAGACATCATTTTTCTACAGGAAGGCGCTCTTTTCAAGACGCTTGTGGAAAAAATAAGTCCAAAATAATAATCCTGGCAGCCGGATTTCATAAGCGTATCGAGCTTCTAAATATCAAACAAATAGCCTTTAAAGAATCTTTGCTCTGACACACCATTTTAGTTTTGTTTTCGTTAGTACCCTTTTTTCGCTAATTTGTTTAGTGTGATAACTGATAATAGTTATCAGTATTATAGTCTGTAATTTGTGCTATAATTTTATTTTTATTTATTATTTTTTCTGCTTCTTTCTTTCTTGAATATAGTTAAGGTGTATAGTTATTCTAGTAGCGTTAATGTGTGTAAATTCCTTGTAAATAAAGTTTTGTTATAAACATCCCCATTCAATAAAATACAGAAAAAAAAGGTAGGTGAGGTAACCCGCATGTCCATATAACCTCTCATTTCTCATGATAGGTGGAGTGACCCGCCACATGTTACCTCACCTACATGTATCTGGGATCCCGTCAGCTCCATGTAAACAGACCCTTAATTAATGGACGTTTAGTTAATATATCAATTTTTGAACTGGCTATTTTCTTGTCTAGGTATTTGTCTGCAAATAAAATCAAAATATTACCGACTGGCATATTTCATAGACAAAATCTGCTAGAGCGACTGTAAGTTTTACCTTTTTTGTATAAATACAAATTTAAGAAATTTCTGATTCAACGAAGCCATCGTATTGTTAAATTGTCGCTCATGTTTTTATGAAGCACTTATTGAGTGACACAGGTTATTTCAATTTTAAAAGTTTCACGGTTAACAATTTTTCTCAACTTTGCTTAAGGGGTTGAACGTCAAATTCCAATGAGTAGATTTTGAGATATCGCCGTTTGTTTACATCGCCTATGAAAGTCATCAAAACAAGTACTGTCACTTTATTCCTTAAGAACACATGCTCAACACTTGTGCGTTCGCTTAAACTACGCGATATAACAAAAAGGGCAAAAACAAAAACTGACATTTCTGGGCCCCCTTCTGGGCTATTTCAGCTTGCCCTCCAATTTATTCTTGAAAAGCTTCAAAATAGAGTTCAATGTTTCAATTAATTTTGTTGTCTATTCCAAGCAAAATCTTGGCATTTATCAGCCCGAGAATAAAGTACTTTTTTGCTAGCTATTTTTAGTGTAATGTAAGCCTTTTCGAGGTACTTTTTGACTGCATTTCACTCAACTTATAAACATTTCTAGACTGAAACGACACCGGTTTGAAACTTCATGGGGTCAGATTAATGAATAAATATTCTAAAATTTGCCTCATTTTAAATTTAGACTCGGTGAAACTGCTTCTAGGGACCTTTAACTTATTGCCCGGCGTCAGATAAAGGCTTTTAATCTGCCTTTGAATGATTTTTTTATTGTTTAAAATTGCCAAGTAGTAGAATGAGTAGAATTTTTGCTAACCCGGTTAGGTTATCGGTAAGGAACAGGGTTTATATTTTTTTTTCTCCTCCTTCTAAAGATCCCTAGAGCATATGCAGTCGTAGGTCGTACCAGTCCCCAGCTCGTTTAGAACCGGGGGAGACTCCCATATGAAAGAGGTGGGGATGCTCGTCGGAAATTTTGAATTAAACCCCTAAAGGAGATCAATCTGGGCGTGGCCCAACCTTTTTTGACCCCCAAAAGCGATCATTTTAAACTTTGATTACATGAATAGAGTAAATAAAACGAATTGAACATAAATAGCTTTTTAATACTTCTTCGCGTGCAACCCTAAAAGAGACGTTTACGGCTAAATATAATGGTGTTTTGCCCAGAACACCCTAAGCGAGACCAAAATCTGAAATTTACACCCCTAAGCGAGACGACGAGCATCCCCGCCCCTATCAAATGGAAGTCCCCCCGGTTGTGAGAACATGGCTAATAGGCAATTAAGGTGGTAGTTGTGATGAAGAGAGTCGACCGTAAAAGGAACTTTGTAAAATGCAACTCTGAAATCTTGTTTTTAATCTTTCCCAAAAACGTTTCCCAGTTAAATGTACATTCTCATCCCCATAACTATGCATTAAAACTGTTTTCATTTGACAGAAATCTTGAAGGAAATGAAATTGAAGATCTACCTGTAGGGACGTTTGGAGCACTATCCAAGCTACGAAACCTGTGAGTAGATCAACACTTTACTCCAGCGAGTGATAGATTCATGTTTCAGGGCTAAAGCACTTTATCTTCACTTATTTAGTGGTACAGTTTTGATGACCAAAATTCGTCCTGAGCAACAAAGAAAATGTAAATTGTAAAATTCTTTCACTTAATGTTCGAGGAATTAGATCGTGTGATAAAAGAAGAGATCTGTTTATTAATAAACAGAGAGCAGACATCATTTTTCTACAGGAAGGCGCTCTTTTCAAGACGCTTGTGGAAGAAATAAGTCCAAAATAATAATCCTGGCAGCCGGATTTCATAAGCGTATCGAGCTTCTAAATATCAAACAAATAGCCTTTAAAGAATCTTTGCTTTGACACACCATTTTAGTTTTGTTTTCGTTAGTACCCTTTTTTCGCTAATTTGTTTAGTGTGATAACTGATAATAGTTATCAGTTTTATAGTCTGTAATTTGTGCTATAATTTTATTTTTATTTATTATTTTTTCTGCTTCTTTCTTTCTTGAATATAGTTAAGGTGTATAGTTATTCTAGTAGCGTTAATGTGTGTAAATTCCTTGTAAATAAAGTTTTGTTATAAACATCCCCATTCAATAAAATACAGAAAAAAAAGGTAGGTGAGGTAACCCGCATGTCCATATAACCTCTCATTTCTCATGATAGGTGGAGTGACCCGCCACATGTTACCTCACCTACATGTATCTGGGATCCCGTCAGCTCCATGTAAACAGACCCTTAATTAATGGACGTTTAGTTAATATATCAATTTCTCCACACAAATCTCTATAAGTTTGGGTAAAACATTTCTTCGGATATCTCGTATACCTCAGTGTTGGTGGATAGTAGTGGTAAATTTACCTCGCCGCTTCTCGGCCTCGTTAAATTTCACTACTAGCCACCTCCACTTCAGTGAATAATTGTTATCTATTCCAATGGTCATTTGCACAGTAAACACCAAAAAATACAAAGCAATAGGCCACTCCCGAATTCCAGTTTATTTTATGCGCTCTTTTAATTACACGGTTTGGGAACTTCGTGTTATTCTGTGAATTCAATTTCATTAATTTGCCTATCGGTAAGGAACAGGGTTTTCACTAAACTTATAAACATTTCTAGACTGAAACGACACCGGTTTGAAACTTCATGGGGTCAGATTAATGAATAAATGTTCTAACATTTGCCTCATTTTAAATTTAGACTCGGTGAAACTGCTTCTAGGGACCTTTAACTTATTGCCCGGCGTCAGATAAAGGCTTTTAATCTGCCTTTGAATGATTTTTTTATTGTTTAAAATTCCTAAGTAGTAGAATGAGTAGAATTTTTGCTAACCCGGTTTTCAAAAATCCAGGTATATTTCACTATTTACTTTTGAAATTTGCAAAGGCCTCATTTTGTTGAAGGGAGGTTAAGGGAGGAAAAAGGAAAACGCGCTGGTCACGATTAGGTTTAGCCACAAGTTGATCTGCAACTTTTCGGCAAGTTTTGATTTTTTAGCATTTTTTAAATTATGTTTTACCTTTTTCACCACATTTATTAGCTTTCGAAAGAAAATCCAGCTAAATTGAACTGGTTTATAGAGAGTTTTCACTCACGTTGGCCACCATCTATGCAAATGTATGAGAACAAAAAAAAATTTTAGCATGAGAAAAGGGTCCAACTCCCTCAGGATTTGCTTGGAACACCAGTATGGCCGCCGTTTTATTGTTTTGGAACACCAATATGGCCGCCGTGACGTCATGTGAAAACGCTCTATACTACTGTGTGAGTAAGTGGACTCTAGCGCTGGCCTAATTACCCATTCTAGCTTGGTTTTGCACTCCTGTCCATGAGGTCTGCGGTATCACATGACACGTTTTTCAAGATGGCGGACAACACTGTCAGTGATTCAGATTCCAGCTGGGAAGAAAGTGCCCGATTAATCTCATTTACCGAAGAAGCTAAAATAGCTAGAGAAAGAAAAATCCAGACGAATCCGGTGGTTAAAAACCGCAATAGAACCAACTTCAAGTGCAAACGAGTAAAAAAAAGTAGCAACTATTGGGCAACTTTTTGAAATTCAGCTACTTCTTGGCATCTTTAAAAATAAAATAACAACTTTTTAGCAACTTTTGGACACTTTTATCGGCAACTTTTTGGGAATTTATCGGCTACTTGTGGCTAAGCCTAGTCACGATGGGAAGGGGAAAGAGAGAAATTTGTACTCTTCCCACGGTCCCCGTTTTCTTTCTACTCTTCGATTATTTCTATTTTTATTGGGATACTCAGTGGGAGCTTCTGCGTAAGAGAGAGTAACCGAATAGGAATGAAAACCCCCCTGAGGCGAAAAAGTATGTCTCTTCACCATTAAAAAAAGTTTTGAATTGATACTGTTTCATATCATGAGTCGATTGCAGGGGAACGCATTTGAGGCTATTGATTCTAACACATTTCACACAATGGCGTCCTTTAAAACGCTATAAGTTATCTCATATTTTCAAAATTACTTTGAAAAAGAGCAATAGAAAAACTGTGTCGTACGTTAACTTAGGCTGTCTGAGGAAGAAAATATTGTTACAGACAAATTTTAATTATCTAAGATGCCGCTTACACGGGTCCGGACAAATCTTTGAACGAACCATTTTTTAACCTGTTCAACCTGTTTATTCACAACCGTGCAAACTCTGTTAAAGATTTCAGTACCGTTTCCACTTCAAAAAATTGGTTCTGCGCGCCCCGTGTAAACGAAACGCGGATCCGTGCAAGTTTTTTCCGTTCAAAAACTGTCCGGATTCGTGTAAACGGCATCTAAACCTATTGCGTTTTGGCCGTTCTTGTTGCCGTCCCCGTTGCTTAAGCTCCCTATAAATATTGTCGGAAATCCTACGCGGTAAGATTGTGGAACTAGATAATTTTGTTTGAAAATAATAATGCCCTATTACTATGAAGGAACTCCTCTGAATTTAAATCAAGAATTAGGAAAACGTTTGTAGGACACTCTTTGAGCGGAAAAAAAGTAAAGATATGACCAAATTACAAACGCTTGGCAGCTTTCTTGTTTCGTATGCTTGAGAACAACGTTGGCTCACGCGATCCTTCTTGAGAGATTACGATTTCGTTATGGCTTTTCTAACCTAGTTCTTCAGTGGTTCACTTCTTATCTTGTTAACCGTCCTCAACGCTTAGTGTTGGACAAGTTTTCTTCCCAGCCTCGTCGTTTATCTTGTGGAGTCCCTCAAGGCTCCGTTTTAGGACCGGTGTTATTTTCTCTATATATTTCTCCGTTGAAGGATGTAATTACGGCTACGGCTTAAATGCAATGATGTACGCCAACGATGCAACTTTACATTATTAAGAGACAAAGCAATCGTGCTACAGCATTAGAGGATCTTACGCTTTGTATTCAGGATATCATGTTCTGGAATGTCTCTAACATGCTTAAATGTAAGCCAAAGAAGACTGAATTCATTCACTTCTCCTCGCATTCTTCACCGGCCGAACCAATTCCTTCTATCAAGGTTGGAGATTGTCCAATTTCTCTGGGTAATGAAGTCAAGAACCTTGGAGTCACAGTTGAGAGCCTTCTCACTTTTAAAACTTACATTAACAACGATTGTTACTGACCACCTCACGTTCTATTCATCTCACCGGAAAAAAAAATAGGAAGCTTCTATCTAGATCTACTACGGAACGTCTTATTCACGCATTTTTTTATTCAAAACTGGATTACTGCAACAGCATTCTTCACGGACTACCCTCCTATGAGGTAGAGAAACTACAACGGTTGCAAAATACAGCCGCAAGGCTAACTGTTAGAGCAAAAGAGTCTGCTCACATCACTTCAATCTTAAAGAGTTTGCACTGGCTCTTATTAAAATAAAAGAATTATTTTTAAGATTCTGTTGGTCACTTACAAAATCCTCCATGCCTTTGCTCCAACCTTTTTAAATGAGCTGCTTTTTAACCACACGCCTCACCGTTTATTACTGTCAAGTATCTTTAACCTGCTGTCTATTCCAAAGACTACAAAGGCTACCTATGGGGACAAATCCTTCTCAATCATTGCTACAAAGCTTTGGAATGACCTACCCATTACAATCAAACAGTGCTCCAGATTCGACTCTTTTAAATTGAGATTACAAACTTTTCTTTTTAACCGTGTTTGTTGTTAGATTAGGTAAATAATTTTTTGTAAAAAGCATTGAGACTTCCGTGTGTTATAAAATGCGTTTTTTAGCACCCTGTTATTATCATTATTATTATTATTATTATTTTAACAAGTAATACCGGTAAAAGTAAATGATAATAATTTTACACTGTATAAAGCTTCGAGTTTAAGCCTTAAAAGCCTTTTCGTCTTTCTTCGGACGTGCCGCATATTTATACGACGAAGTCACGGTTCGAGATTGTCCGCTATAGTAAGAAGTGATTCCATTTGCTTTTATTGAGATGGATAGATGAAAATTGATCGCTCTTTTTGATATACAAATCATGTGAAAGAGAAAGTAAAATCAATTTTTAAAGCTGATTCTTAAGTCGCGGCACAAGGCGATTTATAAAATGGATTTACAAAGAGAGATACGAATTGCTCTTACTGAATAAAATACAACAACTTGATAACAGTCTGCAACCCACTAAGCTGAAACTTATGTCATGTTAGGCCCCTTTCAAAAGGGGAACTTCTTATGAGTGCCGAACACCTATTTAAGTCAATGAGAGTAATTAAATACGGCAGTTGATTCAGACGTCGGATATGATGGTGCCGAATGCAACTCCGTTTGTTGTAAATATTCCCAGTCTCTAGAAAAATTATTTAATAAATAAATGGGTAGTATTACTAAAAATACAGGTAGACACGCTATGATACAAAACGCATTTTTATATTCCTGTAAACTTTGCTTTCAATTTACCTCATTATGTTACTATATGTACCACACAGGTAAAAAAGAGATTAAAAAAAAAAAGAAAGAAAACAAAAGGGGGGTTCGAAAAATTTGCTTCTACGGGATTCGTACTCGGACCCTCAAAATCAGTTAGAACTAAAAGTTAACCCCTCTATCCACTGGACCACCTGGGTAAGCGCTAACGATTTGAATTTAAAAGAGGTATATATACATATTCCTTCTCTATGGTGATTGACAGTTTTCAAGAATGACTGTTTCGGGTTTTTTAAATTTCCGTGTAGGATCAAATCTTTAACTGATCGAAGCTAGACGTAAAGCTCACAATAAACCCATTAAGACCCTTTCAGGCTTGGTCCATGCCAGGGGAACGTTTAAGAAATTTATGAACTATCGATCGCGCGGCTACCGACTGAACCGTATGACCGTACGATTCTCTGCCTGCTGTTAAGGTGTCTTTTCATCGATCGGGGAAAACATTAACACAACATTCTTCATCTTTATGTCCATTGTCTTAGGTTAGGGTAGCAAACCGTTTGGCTTTTAGGGTTAGAAGAGCTGCTTCATAACCTCTCTCCCTGGAATGAAGAAAAACAATGTGGCCGCCAAATACATCGTTTTAGTTCTTACAGTTCTCCTTTATTCACAAACGTTGAACATTTATTTCGGCAAACAAACAGTTAAGTTGAAAAAGGATTTTACAGAAGTCTCAAGAATAGGTCTCCTTTTCGATTTTAACTTGCAATATCGGTCAATTTACGAAACTTTTAAACTTCTGGCTCAGTTTTCGTTTGGTTCTACTTTGAAAATGGAATAATAATTACTCAGAGACAATGCAGTGTCAAGAATTGTTGAGAAAAACAGTAGAAAATTGCCAATTTATGACAAAAAAGGTACTTTAAAAACGAACTAAAACATTCAAAACGCTTTGATCACGTGACTAATGAGGTCATGGCCCTCTTTTAGTTATGAAAAAAATATCAGGTAGAACATTACTTTCCTGCAAATGTTCTCTGCCGTGTGATAAAAGGTTGACTCTCTACTGCGATAGGCCTAGTCTAAGAACTCACCTCCCACTTGCCAGCAAGTACGCGCGTTTTATGTACCTAAATCTTTCCAAAAACCTACATCCGAAGTTCGTCTTATTGAGACTGGCTTCACAGATCAGACAATTGCGGCGTTATACGTTCTCCCATTAAAGCTCACAAAAAGTATAAAGCTTTCCATGTTTCAGTTTAAAAAAACCATCACATCCAGAACACTCGCAACAAACTTTTCAAGGCCAAAATTACTGACAGTGACTCTTGTCATGTGTGTGAATCGAAGCATACCCTAGAACATCTTTTTGTAGAATGCCAGTATGTCCACTCCTTCCGGAACCTTTTTACCTCTTGGTGGAACAATAACAATTGGCCCTCAGTGTCCTTGACCAATAACGATTAGATTTACCGATATCTCCCTTAGAATCGATCCTTCCATACGTTTAATCTTTGCCTGATAGTCGCTCGTTTTCATATCTACACCGCAGCCAAAGAAAGCGAACCTTATAGTTTCTTAGCCTTTAAAGCTTTTCTGAAATACAAATTATCTATAGAGCCTTCAAGTGTCCGTGAATCCTTGAGCCTTTAGCCGTAAACAAGCTTGGCATGTTTAGTTATTTCTGTTACTTGGTTATTATTGTAACACAAAGCAATAAACCAAAGCATTTAGCAGAACACAACTCTATTCTCCATGGCGGAAGAACACATGTCCCTCTGACCTGCGCACTACACTCTAACTGCGCAATACTTATATAAAATATCCCCCTTCTCTATGAAGGCATGAATGTATAACAGAAACCAAAGGCAGTAGTAATAACCCAAGCTAGGCTCACAATGGAACTTAGTTAAACTCAGTTTCTTAGAAACGTACTAGCTCAAAAGAAAGTCATTAAAATAACTGAGAACCCGCCGTTCTCGGAAAGGCCTGCCAACATGTTCTGTGTTCCCTAATGTAACATTCCCATGACTGGGGACTCTCTCTGCTTGAATATCGATGCCAGGCCACCAGGCTCGTTGTCTGAGATGCTGTTTAAATTTAGTAATGCCTTGGTTCCCCTCATGTGCTAGCTGAAGAATGCGTGGGTGCGGTGCGTATGGAATTACAATACGACTGTTCCGCAAAATAATGCCGTGTTTCTGGCAAATTTCTTCCTTTAGATCAGCAAAGGGCGCTGGTGCAGCTGACCTGTCCCCAGTGTCCAGGCACTCCTTGATGGTTTTCAAAGTAGGGTCATATTCGGAAGCCAGAAGAAGCTCCTGAAGAGTGATGGCAGAAGGAAGGGAGTCAACCACAATGGAGTTAACGTAGTCCTCAACAGGATCTCTAGGTGTATTGTATTGGTGGTGACAGGTTTGCGGGACAGGAAGTCGACAGCAGTTTTGATGCCACGTTGGTAAACAATGCGTGGGCTGTAGTTTTGATCGCCAACGTTCGATTCTCGGTGATGGGTTCCCACAGCGTTGAGGACAACTTCCAGGGGTTTGTGATCTCCCACTAAGTCAAACTGGCTGCCGTGGATATAAAAATGAAACTTCTCACACGCCCATGCTCCTGATAAGGCTTCTCTTTCGGTTTGGCTGTAGCGCTGTTCGACGGGTGATAGACTGCGGCTTGCATACGCAACAGGCCGGATAGAACCATCAGGGTGTTTCTGAGTCAAGGCGCCACTGATTCAATCTTGCAGGCATCAGTGCTTACTGGGATCGGGAGGGAGGGGTCAACATGGGCCAGAACCGTGTCACTAGATATGAGGTCAGGCAGGTTGTTAAGGGTTTCAGATTGCTCTGGGCCCCATGACCATGGACAGTCTGTGTGTGTGATCCTTCGTATTGGCTCTGTCATAGCAGCTAGGTTTGGAAGGAAACGGGCAATGGTATTTACTAATCCCAGAAAGCTTCTTGCTTCCGTGGCTGTGCTGGGCGGCTGCATGTGCTTGATTGCGTGCATACGATCCTTGTCGGGGGATACACCTTGTGCTGAGATGTGAAATCCTTAATAGTCCAGTTCCGGGACATCAAATAGGCAATTGGTTTGGTTGACTGTGAGGTTTTTCTCTTGCAGACGTAGCAACACATTTTCTAGGGGTCTGTCATGCTCTTCCTTAGTGGTACCATGGACGAGAATGTCTTCAGCAATGTTCCTTACATTATGGCATCCCTCGAGGACTTTTCCAATTACGTGTTGACATATTTCAGAGAACCCACTGATGCTCTATATGGCAGACGCTTGTAACGGCGGAGGCCAACGAGTGTTCTGAATGTTGTCAGATGACGAGACGATTCAGCAAGTTCAATTTGGTGATACCATTCCTTAAGATCAATTTTGGAAAATAAATTGGAGCCGTTTTGGTCTTGGAGAATTTCTTCGGATGTTGGGTATAGGTGGTGTGTAGGGCGGAGAGCTTCTTTGGGCTTGCACATGTTTACACACAGTCGTATGTCACCATTCGGCTTGTCGACAATGACAAGTGGTGATACCCATGATGTCGGGCCCGTGACCTGTTCGATGATATCTTGATCTTCAAGCTGTTTCAGCTTGGCTTCCACCTTGGCACGGTAATGTAAGGGTGTAGGACGGGCATTTTGTACCACCGGTTGTACAGTTGAGTCAATGTTGAGCTCAAGTTGATAATCTTTTAGTTTCCCGATTTTGCCACTGAACACTGCTGGGAACTTCTGTAAAAGGTACTGGTATTCGTCGTGTACAGGTGAATGGTCAGTAGTTGTAAAGGCGGTGACATAAAACATTCCTAGCCGGGTTGAGGTTTCACGACTCAGGAGACAGCCAGAATTTCGTGCTTTGAGTACCAGGGACCTGGTCAGGTCCATTTCCCCTAACGGAGTATATATTGATCATTCCGAAAAACGATCCGGCGAGAGGAATCGGGGCAGGGTTGTCTTCTCCATAAGGGTGAAGTTTCACACTGGTTTGTTTTTAAGGGCACTGATCGCCTCATCTGTTGCATGTAGTCAATGGTGTTCGCTGTTGCACCAGAATCCATACAAACTTGAACTGGGGTACCTTTAATGGTAACTCTGATGTCTGCTTTTACTTGGTTAGGGTTGAGATGAAATGCCTCATGACATTCATCCTCTTCTCATGCTCAAGAATTACAAACATACCGGGCCTTGGAAATCTCTGCCTGTTTGCTATTTAGGTGACCTGGATTTGAGGTTTTTTTCATACATACGCGTCCAAAATGGTGTAGGATTCCGCACTGAGAACATGTCTTGCGAAAGCAGGGCATCTGGGAGTTTGTGGCTGGTGGTCGCGCTGGTTACCGCAATGTGTACATTGTTGCCGCTTCTCCGAAGTAAAATTCAGTTGTTCTTCTTCGCTGATTGTTGGCATTGTCAGTTGGTGAGCGTTTTCCGACCGTTCCTGGGACGAGACATTCTCAATGTTCGCCACCTGAAAATTGGCCGACTCCATGGAGTAAGCAATATCTAACAATGAACTGAGAGAAGCAGTGGATTTTTCGCGTAGGAGGCGTCGACGAAGTGTGGTGGGATGACAATATTCAATTAATTAATAACCTTGTCGAGCGAATATTTATCGAAGACACAATGCTCACCCAGTCGCCGTAGTCGTGTGACGTATTGAGCAATCGATTCGTTTGGCTCTTGATGAGCCTGGCGAAAGGTGTGTCTTTCAAATTGTAAGCTTTTCTGAGGAGAGAAGTGCGTGTTCAGCGCAGTAAGCGCCTCCGTGTAAGTGGTTCCAGTGTCTGATAAGGTAGCGAAGATGTCTCTTGAACAGCCGGCCCGGCAAGGTGAAGTAGCAAAGCTCGTTTGCTATTGTCAAAAGTAATTCCACGGGCATTGGTATGGATGTGACCTCGGCGCGCCATCCTCGTCGCCAAAATACTGTAACACAAACGAAGAAACCAAAGCATTTAGAAGAACACAACTCTATTCTCCACTGCGGGCTAACGCATGTCCCTCGGACCTGCGCCATACACTCTACGTAGGCAATGCGTATATACAATAGTTTTTTTATTTATCTATCTAAGTATTCTTTTTTTGTAATTAACAATTGCAACGTCCTGTGTACCAGTTGTATCTTGTCTGTTTCTTTTATTTTAGTTTTGTAACGCGTTCTTTGTTGGTTAAAACTGTATATTGTATTGTACTTATCAGTAAGCTTCAATATTAAAACAATAATAATAATAATAATAAAATATTATGACCTATTGAAAGTGTTTGATATACAGTCGACTCCCGATAACTCGAACCTTCAAGGGAAATCGAAAAAAGGTTCGAGTTATCGGGAGTTCGAGTTATCGGGAGGTCGAAGAAAGTAGCCGAGAGTAAGGTAAAAAACAGTTTTTACTGCACAGTGAACATTTTAATGACATTTAATTGTAGAAATGTCAAGTGAAAATTAAAAGACACTTCTAGATTTTAAATCAGAACGTAACGTAACAAAATATAGCCTAAATAGAGCATGCGTTTTACTGTTTTTAGAAGAAAAGCTGCTTCACGTTAGCCTGTGACAATCAACATCAGCCTCTATGTACTCGTAAACTATACTCCACAACACGTCAATAGGGCGGGAAATCCAAAATTCAATGTTTCGGACGCCAGTAGACGGCTTTTTTCCCGACTTTTTAAGGGCTCAAAACATGGTTCGAGTTATCGAGGGTAAAATTATATAGAAAATGACCTGAGTGGAAACGAAAATTGGTTCGAGTTAGCGGGAGTTCGAGTTTTTGAGGGTTCGAGTTACCGAGGGTAAAATTACAGCGAATGTATGACGGAAATCCAGGGGAAATCGATTTTGGTTCGAGTTAGCGCTAGATTCGAGTTAGCGAGGGTTCGAGTTATCCGGGAGTCGAGTGTACATAACACTATGGAAAAGTTTGTAGAAATTTGTATGTATAATGAGGAGTCGTTGTGTGAAACAGAAGAAAGTAACTGAATGTGTGCCAGGTAATGAAAGATATGTTCGAGCTAAAAATGGTCGAATGATGATGAAATGCACCTGTTCGGAATGTGGTATAACTAAGACTAAATTTGTCAAAAATCAGGGAACCTAGTTAGCCCGTCCAAATGGGCGGGCATTGGGTCAGATGTTGCAGGAACTGCATTAGACATGTTTGTGCATCGTGGTCTTCCATGGATGGGAAAGAAAGCGGTTGAAAAGGGAAGATATTATGGTTCAGAAGAACTGAGGAACCGAAAAAAAAGGCAATTGACTACGCGTTGGATAAACTGATTCCAGTGATTCAAAATGTTGGTAGTCCAGCTCTTGATCAATTTTCAACAAAGATTAGACCCAACAAAAAGTACAAAACCAGTTTGCAAGACAAAATAGCATATTTTGCAAGTATGCCTCTAGCAGGACCGGCACCTACATTCACAACTGTTTTTGGTAAATTAGGGTCTCAAGCATTAAAAGGAATAACAGACAATATAAATCATTATAGAAGAGGTGCTGTCGATCTTCATAAAATGATTGGGAAATTACTTAGGCCAAAATCTGGATGGACATTACTTGGGCATAAATACACTGGTCCGTATAATGACCTAGATTCACAAGCAAAATACCATCCGAAAACCGGAGAGGTACTTGAGATATGATCAACCAACAGATAAGACAGATGCAATAGCAATGCAACATGATGTAGATTATTCAGTTTGCAAAGAAGATAGAAAATGTAAAAACAAAGCAGATAGAAAAATGGTTAAAGAATGTGATAAAGAATTTATTGAAAATTTAGATTACTCCGAAATTTAATTTCTAGTGGCTGTTAAACAGTACAACAAAATTGAGAAACAAAACAAAATCAATATAAACGTATTTGGTTGCTAAGATAAACGGCCATATCCCACCTATGTATCCGAAGAAAAGTTTGAACATAATATGAACCTTCTACTGATAACAGAGGCTGGAAACGAACACTATGTACCTTAACTTTAACAAGTTCATGTACAACCAAACAAAACGTCATCATAGGAAACATTTCTGTATGTAATGTCTACAATGTTTTAATAATGAGGATGTACTAAATAATCACAAGACTAACTGTATGATTGTTAATGGTTAGAAGGCTATAAAAATTCTTGAGAAAGATAATAACATCTTGAAATTCAACAACTTTCATAAGCAGATGCCTGTACCATTTGTAATCTATGCTGGTTTTAAGGCTATTAAAGAAAAAGTACAGGGATCTCAACCAAACAATTGTTGGTTAAAACAATATGGCGATTTCAATACACAAAAGAGAACTAAATAATGCTAAAATGCTTTTGAAAAAATAAAAGGACTTTTTTAAACTTATGAACAACTCAGTTTTTGGCAAGACAATAGAAAACATTCGTAAAAGAGTAGATGTGAGACTTTTAACAAGCAAAGAAAAACAAGTAAAATTAGCTTCAAAACCGACTTATGGAAGGCGTAAAATTTTTTATGATAATCTAGTGGCTGGGCATAAGATTAAAGAAACAATTACCCTCAAAACGCCGGCATATGTAGGAATGTGAATTCTTGATCTTAGTAAGACACCAATGTATGATTGTCATTATAATTATATTAAACAAAAGAATGGTAATAAAGCAAAATTATTATTTAATGATACAGTTTAACTTACGAAATTGAGACAGAGGATGTGTGGACAACGGTGATTATTCAGAGCAATCTCCTTATTTTGATATAACAAACAAAAAATTTAGAGATGAAGCTGGTAGTATCCCAATTAATGAGTTCGTTGGACAAAGATCAATTTTTTTTCTACGAAAGTTAGTGAAAAAGGCGGCAAAACAGCAAAAGAATCAAAAAGAATATCAAACATGTAGACTATAAAAATGTATTATTCAAGAATAAACAAATGTATCACAAAATGAAAACGATTAGAAGTCAAAATCACGAACTCGGAAGCTAGGAGTTTAAAATATATATATATATAGTTTTCCAAAAATATTTACCATTAGTGAGGAAAAGTAGTCTAGAGTTGGCTTGCTACCAGATCAGTTAATCAACAGATCCGGTAGCGCCAACTCTATACTTCTAGTCGCTTAAAAAATCAATATAAACCGATACCTTCTTCTAGGAGTTTAGCGGGGAACAAACTTTCTTTTCTGGAGGATAAACCTCTTTGGAATAATGGCAAACTAATGGAGCTGTAAATACAGGCTATAATCATTTAATGTGAATTTTTCTTCCATTTCATTAGCCGAAAGCCCACCACATGACATCTAAATAATTGCCTAAGAATAATGGTCTGCTCATGCGCAATATCGTCCAACTGTGTTCGGCTGCAAATAATATTCTGCTCATGCGTAAACGAAACCACACTTTTCTCCTTCTTTCAATCGTTCTTGCGTGAAAAAAAAGCAAATCGCTTCGCTTCCGGAAGATATTCATTAAAAAAACTTGGAGATTGAATGATAAAACAATAATTGAACTCGGTTATCGCAAAATATCGTGATCCGTCCGTGTCTCGCAGGTCAGTTATTTGCCTCAGCCTTGGGCTTTGGCAAATGATTGATCTGCTCGCCACTGACAAATCACGATATTTGGCTCAACCTCGTCCAATAATTGCTAATTGTTTGTAGAAATAAAGCGTAGATCATTTCGGTCTTATTAATTTATTTGTTTCGAAGAAAATACTTTTTTGTCGTTTGTTGTGCCAAATCTCAGGCATCTAGGAAGCAACCAGCTGGAGATAATTGGTGCCAGTGTCTTCAGCAATCTCACTTCAGTCAGTCACCTGTAAGTATATCAAGATTAAGTAGAGATGTTTCAAATCTAGTTCTCAGAAACTGAAATTCTAAAGCACATGTGAATAACTTATCACGATCGTAGACCCTGAGGGGCAGCCAGGTGGGTCGACAGCTGAGGAAACTTTCGTCGCGCTTTTTCTGCCCACCCGACTGAGGGAGATGAAGTGCTTTTCGTCTCCGATTTGATTTACTAACGTCACTAAGGCAATCAATGCATCCAATGCTTAAGCAGGAATAAAATAAAGATAATTATCATAAAATCGTAAACGTTATCATAGTCATAATCTTAAACTTAATGGTAATCGTAATCATTATCATTATCATTACCATTATCATATTTATAATCATTATCGGAATCATAATCATAATCTTAATAACATGGTGTCTGGAGATAAATATGCACGTGAAAATTTTTGAGAACACCAAAGGAGTGCCAAAGAAGCACGAGGCGCAAGCTATTCGCTTAAGTTTTCCGACAAAGCTAATTGAAATTGCTAATTTTACTATTAGGATTAACCAACCCTTATTGGTTGAATCAAAAGCTTTTGATTGATACCTTTTTTCCTTATATAACGTAGTCTCCTGCGAGATAATCGATTGACTGAAATCTCTGAGGGAATCGGAACTATGACCAGTCTGCTGATATTGTAAGTTGGGTAGCATATCTTCATCGCACAGATACGTGTATGTCATGGTCTGCTGAGTAATATAATATGGTTGTAACTGCTTTAGTGAAGGGAACATATCCGTTTTCTTAAAAATTATAGTCAACTCTCTCTTAACGGACACCTCGATCAATAAGGACACCTTGCTAAAACGAACACCTAGAGCTGGTCCGTCCCTTTTTTACTCCCTCTTGTTGACTCTATCAAACAAGTGTCTCTCTAAGACGGGCACTTAATGACGGTCCCAAAGATGTCCGTCTTAGGGAGATTTGACTGCATACACAAACTTGAGTCTCACCTTCTTAAGACGGGTGTTTAACATGTGAGATGTGAGCAATTATCAACAAGTGAAATCCAGTATTTCCTATATGGGCCTTGTTTCTTGAGCGAGGAAAACTGTACGGAAGCGTTATCTGATTGAATTATGAGTTGCGAACAACGGGGCTTTGAGCTGGATAAAGTGGAACCCGAACGGGTTTTTTGATACAGTAGGCTGCTCTTAGATTAGGTTCCACCTGATCACTTTGAGAAACACTGACTTGCTAAACTGCATTACAATTTCTTTAAGGGATCTCTCCAGGAACAACATAACACGTATTCCAGTAACACCATTGAACCGCTTGAGGAAACTCAAAGTTTTGTAAGTAGAATTCCTTAGTTTGTAACTTAGAACTGTAAAAGATAATCATATACAAAGTGTAAAATTTATGTGCCCTTGCAAATAAAATAAAGACAACTGATGTGAGAAAGGTCGCGCATAAACGTTAAAGCTCAACCGCTCAACTTTTACGTTTACGCGCGATGCTTCATACATTGCCTCTACTTTTTGCGTGGGCGCATAAAATTTACCTGCGTAGGCGCGCATAAATTACGCGAGTGTGGAAGTACACCTTTGGGCTGCCAGGCTATATCAGTAGTATAAAGTGACTTACCATCTGTCTTAGGCCTTTCAAGATATCAACCAGCAGCTTAAAACCATAAAATACATACGGTATTTATTCATAAGACGTTAAGGTAAAAGATAGTGTTGTGCTATAATGTATACTTTTTATTGTTATTCTTTCAGAGCATTACATCAGAATTTAATCGACTCAATAACAAATGAAACGTTTGCCAACCTTACTGAACTCCAGTTTTTGTAAGTTGAAACAACCAAGATTGATTTCTGTTCTCGTGGAGGACATTTATCAATTATCATGGTTCTATATTTAAGTAATAGAAAACGTTTTCAGTGTTTGCATAGCCTGATATAAACACGAGAGGGGTTGGGAGAACTCGAGACCCTTATGCAAACCCGAGACGAAGTCGAGGGTTTGCATAACTGTCGAGAATTCTCCCAACCCCTCGAGTGTTTATATCAGGCTATGCAAACATAGGAAAAAAGTTTTCTATTGCTTTTATAAATAACTTTCCCGAGAAAAACGCAAAACTCTTTGTTGTCGCAAAGTCGTGTACACGAAGGCTTGCACGCGTAATCAGTTCTTGTTTTGCAAAAAGATGCTTTCCAAAATACGGATTTTTCTCATTTAAAATGTCAGCTTAAGCGAAAACAAAGTTGACACAGCTTGTTTGTAAAGGTGTACCAAGTTTCAGCTGACGAAGGAATGGGTAAATAAAGTAAACTTGTCGAGTTTTGAACTCAAAAACTTTTTCAAATTTGTGCTTGCGTGATTAGCGCGCGAAAAGCAAAACATCTTGACGTCACAACCATGTTTACACACTCTCATGCAAACACTCCTCTCGGCCAATCAGAGCGCGCGTACTATCTTAGTTACTTTATAAGTTATATTCTTGTACTATTTAATTTGTCACAAGATGGTTGAAATAAGTAAGGTAAATTCGTAGTTCGTGACAAGCGCCATGATCATGATTCTGATCCTGGAAGAAGCTGATTACTGAAATAAATATTTTCCGATCGGTGTCAGTGAAAAACAAACAAAAGCAACTCTAGTTGGATTTTTTGCTGCTTTTAGCCGTTCCCCTTGTAGTGATATCCCAGTTCTGCATTTCTACACCGCCCTCTTTTCCATAACTAGTTTTATGATAAAGTTCAGAAAAAAATGCGCGCTTTGAGTAGTTGAAAAAGCGTGCTATGTGTTTCGCCATCTGCCAATAGTTTGTTTTGAAAGTTAAAAAGTAATGTGTGGGATTTAACCGAATTCTTTGTCATTAAAAAAATGAAAAAGCTTTGACTGTGCCCTGTTTTGGTGTAAAGCACTTAGGAAGCAGCTAGAGCACTATACATGAAGTAGGGAGAAACGCTCGACTGCGTCTCCTGTTTCCCCCTATACTTCTTTCGTGCTCTAGCGGCTTCCTACGTGCTTTACAACAAAACAGAGTACAGTAAAGACTTCTTTGTTTGTTAAATAGTAAATTATTTTCAAACAATTGAAGGCATTAAAAGCTAATTAGTGCATCTCGCCAGGTGCAAAGTGTAAGTTTTATTAGTAGCGAAGCGTACGCCCTTAGAGAGAAACTACTCACATTAAGATACTAATCGTTACAGTCATCACGACGTACACCGTAAGCAGTAAACATGTACACTTCTCTAACACCTAACGTGACATTCATGATACAGGGATTTCGTTGTTCTATCTGCTCCATTACATTCGTATAACAACATTTGTACTTCTCAATTTCGCAGATTTCTTAATAAGAACCGTCTCACCAAGATTCCAGACGAAGCTTTCTTAAATCTTAAAAACTTGAGGCTGCTGTAAGTTCTTTTGTAATCATTGATTTTAGCTAACAATGTGATCTTCTCTTTTGCTATTCTCATACACGTTTCCTACTTCTTGGTTTTTCCCACAGCATGTTTTCCGATAATAAAATTAAAGATGTTGGATCCCAGGCGTTTATTGTTGGTAACTCCTTTGATACCCAAATGTAAGTACTGCAGTATAGAACGTCTCGTCCGTCTCGTAACTAAGGGACCACCTTTCGTACACCTTTCGTACACCAAGTTTTCTCCGAGGCAAAGCAATATAGCTGTAGCTTGATTACCAATAATTTATTGTCCAACAAGCAGTTTGGTTTCCGGAAGGGTTTCTCAACTACAACAGCTTTGACCTCATTTGCTGATGAAGTGCTCTTAAACATGGAACAAGGAAAGCTTTGCGGGGCCGTGTTCATCGATCTAACCAAGGCATTTGACACGGTAGACCATCAAATAATGTTATGCAAGCTATCCGAGATCGGCCTTTCTGAAACAGCTCTTCATTGGTTCCGTTCTTACTTAACTGGTAGACAACAGCGCACATCATGTGGAAATGAATTATCTGAGGAACTTCCAGTCACGCATGGGGTGCCACAGGGTAGCATTCTAGGGCCTCTGTTGTTTGTGATTTACATAAATAACTTGCCAAATGTGCTTAACTCCTGCAACGCGTCACTTTATGCAGACGACACTGTAATTTATTGCTATGGTACATCCTGAAAGGAGTTGAGTGATAAGTTAAATAACGATCTACTGGGTGTGGCGAAATGGCTTCATGATCACAAACTGACTTTAAATTTGGACAAAACTAAACGCATGCTCATCGGTAGTAATAGGAAACGCGAAAGCAAAGTAGATTTGACTGTTTCAATTTTAAATCATAGTATAAGTAATGTTCGCAGCTTTAAATACCTCGGTATACATATATCTTCGGATCTCACATGGACTGATCATGTTGAACACCTAACTGGGAAAATCAATCAGAGGCTTGGGCTTCCCAAGCGTATAAAGCATTTATTGCCTTTCAGGGCTCGTCTACTTTTCTATAAAAGTCTTGTTATACCCCTTTTTGAATATGCTGATCTAGTATGGGGCGATAAACATAATATTACCCTTATGTCTAGTTTGCAAGTTTTGCAAAATAAGGCCGCTAAAGTTATTTTAAATAGACCATTGTACTCATCCTCCACTGAGGCATTAGCCGTTCTTAAGTGGCTGCCTCTAGAGAAAAGGCGATTTCAAAGAAGGTGTGTACACGTATACAAATGCATCAATGGCCTAATTAATCACGATATGGACTTGATTAGACAAGACGTACTTCATAGGCATAATACACGTAACAAAGGCAATTTTAGATTACCACGTGTCAAAAGAAATTGGGGGAAGCAAAGAACACAATATCATGCCGTTTCCGATTTCAACTCCCTCAGTCAGACGATCAAAGACTCAAGGAATGTAAATAGTTTTAAACATAATGTTTTTAAGTTTTTGATATAGCTACTTACGTTTAATTTTTACTTATACTTATTTTTAATTTTTTATGCATTTTTTGTATCTTTTTAATCCCTTTGCAATTTTATAGCTTTTTTTTTTGTTTTTATAATATATATCTAGTTTTGAGGTCCTTTTTGAAAACCATATCTTTTATGAAAAAGTTTCCTCAATAAAGATGATTATTATTATAAACTCTCGTAAGCGACGTCGGCTATTTTTTGATGTTCTGATTTAACGTTGTTTAAGCACACACCATGACTTGATTTGGTAATGAACTTAATATTGGACATTTACGTTATGATCAATTGACAGCTGCCAAAATAGGATACCGGCTGACCAGTGTTACATGACTGTATCGCGACCTCAGGTGTGCAACTCATTTTTAAGGTTCTCGGCTGACCAGCTAAGGCATTCCAAGTGATCGCAGGCTCAGAAAACTTCGTTTAGAAAGACAGTTCTTAAAATAACCCACGAGAGCTTCACTTTTAGCCTTGGCTAAATCTATACATTACATGCAACAGATACATGATACGAACAGCTTTAAGATCCCTCGACCTGGATTCACTGGAAGGTGTGGATAGTGCAACAACCAAAATGTAAGTTTAAACTATTTTTAGTTTCTTTCACAACTTAAGCTAGGTAGTCGGAAAAATGTGCAAAGTAATAACCCATGTGAAAAACCTCCATGGAATTCCATGGAAAATTCTCCATGGAATTCCATGGAGGATTAGGACATCAATTTCCATGGAATTCCATGGAAATTTCTCCATAGATTTCCATGGAAAATATTTGTAAGGAGGATTAGGACATTTCCCATGAAATTCCACGGAAAACATTAGGACACCAATTTCCATGGAAATTTCTGCGTCGACATTTTCCATGGAATTCCATGGAAAAGTTCCATGCAATTCACAGGAATTACACATTTAAAATATCCAGTGAATCAAATGGAATACATAACAGATTTTGGTCCACTGCAATTTATTGAATCAATAAAAGGACCGCATAAATCTCTTTTTAAAGATAACATGCTTTTGGCGGAAAATTTGACATACTGTAGCTAAAGCAAATTAATGTTTACTTGGGACTATACAAATTGCAGTTTAGAATGCAGCAATCATATTGAAGTAGCTTAAATGAAAAATTTAGATTTAATATAAAGGAAGGAGTCTTGGCCTGGTGTTTAAGAAAAGTAACAGGCGAACAGATGCATAATTGAGCTAATACTTGAATGCATAAACCGTCAGTATGTAAGACTTAAACATGGCTTTATTTAATGCGACGAAAAAGGGAAGTGCTACTTATTTCCTCGATCAGAACCATGGTATTTAGTTATAGCAAAGTCCTACCTAATCCTTGGGAAAAACGGCGTCAGCCACAATTATAATTGATCAGTCTCTTGTACAGTTTTTACGTAGCAGGCATGAAAATTCTAAATATGATATTTCTTCTTATACATCGAAGCAACCATCGAAGTACAGTCTTCGATTTCTAATTCTGCCAGAATTAGTAACTATTCTGAAGGATTCTAAAGGCAATTTGCAGGAAAGACCACTTTCATATCTGTATAAACAAAAAAGATAAAAACTACATATTAAAACCCATAAACAGCAGACAATCGAGCGGACGAATTCAGTTGAACAACCAAACACGAGTTGTGTACATATTAAGCTTACCTTCCTCCTTTATTGCGCGATCCAGCTGAGTCATTGTTCAATCGAAGTCGATTTGAAACAAGCCAAATGTAAGCAACCTCACAAGTGATATTTTGCGCTGAAAATAACATCTTTTTCGGATGCATTCATTGCAAAGACAATGCGTTCACACAACGCTGTCGTACTGCACAGAAGTCCGCCTAAAGATTCGAACCAAGAAAACTGATCGTCTTCGTATTTCTATTGGTTCAAAAGCCCCACGTGATCGCGTAAGTCACTAAGCGGGGAGGCCTGGACGCCAGTTCAAGCACCAAACATGGCGTCAAATCACGGCACGATCGTGGAGATGTCTGTCTTAAAAGGCTTTAAATTGTGGTCCCTTTCAGAGTTAATTGTACTATTCCGACGCTCTCGAAGAGTAAAGCAGTGAGAGGAAAAGATTTCATTGTTCTCCCAGGTGAGGGAACCTTTGAAAAAAGGCAGCAGGCCTATTTATAGTCTGATGCACAGACGTTTTTAGTGTCGTCACACAACGCTCCTCCCCACTCAAAACGGCTGTGTAGCAGACTAGCCTATCCACGGATGCGGCAAAAAACTCTAATATTGCCTGTGTAGGTTCGCCGAAATACTCCATGTAAAGCAATCTCATCAATCAGGTTGGACTTGAGTAATAGGGAAAATCTTAGCTCTCAACCAAACACACTTCGATACCGAGAAGAGTTATGTGCCTAGTGGGATCATTTTGTACTAGCTATTTAAGTACGGGACCCGTACATTGTCTTGTATTTGCTATTCATACGGGATTCCGACTAAACGGATTAGGGCTATTAAAGCACTGACTCGAAACGGTTAGCTTCTAATTAGGGTTACGGTTGTTTTTAGATAAGTAAAATCAAACTCCACCCAGCAGCGAGTTACTACTCCGTGGTAGAGTGGTTAGGTTACGAACTGTGGATTCTGCGCCCCTGGATCGGTTCTTAATCTTGCCAAATCGAATTTTTCTTCTTTTCAAAATTTGTCACTGACATTTTTTCCTTAAAAATGGGACAGTGGTTGAAGAGACTTACACTTTCATGGAAATTTGTTGATCAGAAATTTCAAGAGACTTGAAAATTTCATATAAATTTCAAGTAAAGACTTGATCCCGTATGTCATAGCAAATACACGTCGGTACGGGTCCTGTACGAATAGCAGCACTGTGTCAATGTAATGAAGCAACTGAATGTTGTTAATAACAGTGATCTTGTCATATTTTAAATGCAACACTGCTTTTAAAAGATAAATGGCAGACAGCCCTACTAAAAAACAATTTTCTATATTTACTTTTTTTAACAGGATTATTTTTTTATTAAGCACTCAAAACATTCCTCTTTATAGTTAGCAATAAAATTTCTTACACTGCGACTTTCAGTGTCGCCTGTCGGTGAACAATACTTTTGCATTGTCTGTGTAATTTAGCTTTTAGCTTTTAGAAAGCTTCCAAATGTTTCCTATTTTTCTATCCAATAAAAAGTGCAGACTTGAACATGTGGTTAACGAGTTGATGAGCTGCTTGATTACTGAATTTCTATGGATTTCCCCATACAAACTGCATGGTATTCTATCGAACTCCATGGACACGCTATGGCATTCCATGAAACTGCATCGGTACTTCAGGGAACCCCATGGCATTCCATGGAACTCTACAATATTCCCTGGATTTCCATGGACCTCCAAGGAAAGTCCATGGAATTTCATGACATTCCATGGAACTCCATCACTACTTCATGGAACTCCGTGGAACTCCATGGTATTCCATGGAACTTCATGGAACTCCGTGGAACTCCATGGCATTCCATGGAACTCCATGGATACTCCGTGAAACTCCATGGATACTCCATGGAACTTCATGGCATTCCATGGAACTCCATGGATACTCCATGGAAGTTCTGTGGAATTCCATGGGTTTCCATCGATTTCCTTGGAATTCCATGGATTTCCATAGATTTCCATGGATTTCCATGGATTTCCATGGAATTCCATGAAATTCCATGGAGGTATTTCACACTGGAAGTATTAAATATGGATTGCTCAAGCGTGTTAGCCTCGCAGATTTATTTTAACCCTTTGCAGTTGTAAGCGGCTACCTAGTAAAAGCCTGTTAAAGTTTTTTTTATAGTCCTCTTTCGTCTATTTATGTTTTCCTTAACTCGCTGTAACTTGTGTTGACCGAAATGGAAAATTGCAAACGATAATGAACAAAAACAAACGAAGCCATAACAGAGACCACTTTCCCTTCTACCCTTTCGTCTAAAAGGTCAAACGCAACCAATCGACCCTTACCTTGCAGAAAAATGAGCGATGGCCAAATTGCTTCCGTGACTTTAAAGAACAAGATTGGTTCTAATCTCTGCAAAATTCAACTGTAAGTATCTTTAATATTATTATATTATCATTATTATTATTATTACAAGTGATACCGGTAAAAGCAAATTATAATTATTTTATACTATATAAAGCTTCGAGTTTAAACCATAAAATAACTTGATGAAAAAGAGTTACCTTTTAAGTCTTTCTTCGGTGCCGTATATTTCTACGACGACGTCATGGTTCGAGGTTGTCCGCTATAGTGAGAAGTGATTTCATTTGCTTTTATTGAAATGGGTGGATAAAAATTGATATGCACAAATCATGTCAAAGAGAAAGTAGAATCAACTTTTACAACTGATTCTTAAGTCGCGGCACAAACCGATTAATAAAATGGATTTACAAAGAGAGATACGAATTGCTCTTACTGAAAAGAAAGCAACAACTTAATAACAGCCTGCAAACCACTAAGCTGAAACTTAGCAGTGCTTCACACCTATTTTAGTCGATGAAAGTAATTAAATACGGCAGTTGATTCAGATGTCGGATATGACGGTGCCGAATTTAACTCCGTTTGTTGTAAATATTCCCAGTCTCTAGAAACATTTTTATCCAGTATGGGTAAGGGTTTCTATAATTAACGCATTATATTGGGCAAGTGTAAAATGCGACTTCTAAATCAAATGCTGAACCTAAGTCGAATTTTCGACTGTTTCCCTTGCAGATTCGACAAAGTCGTATTTAATTTGGTGATTCGGACGTTCCTTCTCAAAGCAGTTACGTCTCGAATTAAATTAGGCACCTGAGAAAATCGGTATTTGAGCTGGGTAGTGATAACATTGTCCAGTATTAATAAAAATAGTTAATGCCTGTGGCTGCCCTCGAAAGTGGTACTTGGCATCCGAAGGAGTTTCGTTGTTATTCACAAGAAAAAGAGAAAAACTTGAATCGTCAGATCTTTCCTTTATCTCCAAATAATCTTTAACTCTTCAGTTCTTCAAATAACAACTTAGTCTGCCTTATACGATACCGATGAGCAAAGGATTACATGGATTGTAAAACTAAATCACACATGTGATAAACAAGAACATGGCGGCAACTAACACGAGTCCTAAGCAAAATGGTAACAACCGCTGACCATAAATACTGAAAATTCATTACTACAGCACTGCTGTAGTAACATGGCTCCTCAACTGCATGTCATGCAGTTAAGACAAAACAATAAACTTACAAGAGTCCCTGAGGCTAAACGTTCAACAAACTATCAGTTCGATACTCAAATGGTAGAATCTCGAAAGCTCAAGTCACTGATCGGCAACAGCGAATGAATGTCAAATGAGTTAATCAAAATCAAGAGTTCACTACAATGTTCATTGACAATGAAACCTTTGCAACGTCTTTCAATTGTTCTTCGTTGGCTCCTCGATGGGGACTTCCCTGGTCTCCTCGTGAAAGACATATTCCTGGAACACTTCATCTGCAGTCAACAATAGAACGAGCTTGTTTATAGGTCTGCCTAAATGTGATGGTGGGCGTTGGCGTTTGCCACTATCATCCAAATTCCCGTCTGCCATCAGCAACCTGACCTTTCTGGTATACCCGTCGTCACTTGGGTACACTTGCACTACTTTGCCAAGTGGCCACTTATTGTGCGTGCTTTCACTTTCCTTAGAGATGACTATATCACCAACAGCAAGGTTTCTCTTAGACTGGACCCGCTTTTGCCTGACTTGTAACATTTGAAGATACTCTCCCCGCCATCTCAGCCAGAATTCATTTGCAAGATACTGAACTCTTCTCCAACGTCTACGACAATACATATCGGCTCTTTGAAACTTTCCTTGGGGCGGTAGCACTCTTTAAGATGGTTAGGAGTCAACGGCTCTGGAGCTTCTGCATCACATAAGTTATCGACGCTGAGGGGTCTTGAATTAATAATGCACTCGACTTCTGTCAAGAGTGTTCGCAATGTCTCATCATCTAGTTGGCAGCCAGCTTGTAACAGTAGTGGTTCAAGTGCGTTGCGTACACTACGAATGATACGTTCCCATGTCCCGCCCATGTGATTAGAATGGGGTACGTTCAACTTGAATGGAATCCACTCGCATCCATTCCTTAGCAAATAGTCTTGAACATGATCTTGATTCATCTCACATAATGCTGCTTTCAGTTCACTTCGTGCACCAATGAAATTTGTCCCTTGGTCGGACCTCGGTTGTCTCACAGCACCTCTCCGATTCATCAAACGTCTCAATGCACTGATAAATGAAGAACTCTCCAATGAATTGGCAGTCTCTAGATGAACACTTCGTGACCCCATACATGTAAACAATACTCCATAGCGTTTAACTTCACTCCTTCTCTCTTTGACAATGAACGGTCCAAAGTAATCAACGGCACAAAACGAAAAGGGAGGAGCTGGTTCAAGTCTGTCGTTAGGAAGGCAGGCCATCTTCTGCTGCTCAGTGGGCCTACGCAGTCGTCTACATGTCAAACAACTCGATATGAACCTCGCTACTTTTGATGAAACATTGATCAACCAATAGCCACTTTGCTGCAACTCGTTATGCGTCATACCACGACCCATATGGTTCACCTTGAGATGGTGATGTTGAATCAACAGTTTTGTCAAGTGTCCTTTTCGCGGAATAATGACTGGATGCTTCAGATCAACTGGTGTATCTGCTCTTCTGATACGACCACCAACACGAATTATGCTATCATGGTCCACAAACGGATCCAGTTTGTACAGCGAACTTGTCTTTCGTAACGGTTGGTTCCTCTTTCTGGCTTGGTTTCTGTTTGTCTCTCCGTTGGTTACATTTATGTCGCAGAGAATTTGAAGTTCCTCACGGAAATGTTCGTACTGCAAACATCTGATGATGGTCTTCTCTGCCTCTTAAAGCTCTGGAAGCGTAACTCTCAGTATTGACTTCTCAACTTGTGTACTTGACCTTGTTACTGGACTCTCGGGTTTCTTAATTTCCCTTCTTTGAAGCTTGGACTTCAGACGTAAACATAGAGCTATGACCTTTATAGCACGGTTCCAGCTAGATACACCATCTAGTCTGATTATTTCAAATTGATCTGGAAATGGAGCAACACTTCTGACATCGTTTCAAAACAGACACTTTCTTCACCTCCGGGTCAGAGTCTTGAAGGCGAGGCAGCTCCACGTTTTCTGGTTCACAGGGTCCGCTTCTCCACAAGAATTTTGGACCAGTTAACCACACCTTTTCCAGCTGCTTTGCGGTGAGTCCTCTTGATGCTTCGTCTGCGGGGTTGTTGTTTGTGTCTACGTAAAACCATGCGTTGGGATAGGTTAGGTCCCGGATTTGCTGCACTCTGTTAGCAACATAAACGTGAAACCTCTTGGCTTCATTGTTAATGTATCCGAGAACTACTCGGCTATCCGTCCAGAAGAATTCTTTCATCTCCGGGTACTCCAACTCATTTCTCACGAACTCACTCATTCTTGCAGAGGTGGTAGCAGCAGCTAACTCCAGCCTTGGAATAGTCTTGTGTTTAAGGGGAGTTACCCTGGCTTTTCCGACGATGAAGGAACAATGAGCTTGATCGAGTTCGTTAATCAATCTTAGATAACAGCATTGACCATAGCCTCCCACTGAAGCATCTGAAAAATAGTGGACCTCCACTGCTTTCACTGGGCCAAAGTTGTCTGGCTTGAAACATCGCTGTATCTCTAGTTTCTCCAACTGTACGATTTCTCGCCGCCACTTTTCCGACTGTGGGTGTAGATACTCTGGAACAGGGCTATCCCAATCCAGCTTGTCTTTGCACATCTGCTGAAGAATCTCTTTACCTCTGAGTGTAACAGGGGCCAGGTACCCATTAGGATCATAAATAGAGCCAATAGTGGACAATACACTTCTTCGAGTTAAAGGGCGATCATGAAGTTCAATCCGGAACTGGAAACTGTCGCTTTCAGTGCACCACATCACGCCTAGAGCTCTTTCAATAGGTAATGGATCTACAGCTAAGTTCAGTTCCTTTATTTCCTTTGAATGGTCATCAACCGGAAAGGCTTCAAGAACTTCTTTCTTGTTCGAGACTATTTTATGTAATCTGAGACAAGCCTTGCTACAAATTGCTTGACTGGCCTTGATTAACTGTATGGCTTCGGGTACCGTTGATACAGATTTTAGTCCATCATCTACGTAGAAGTCCTTGCGTATGAACGCCGCAGCATCTGTACCAAACTCCTCTTCGCCATCGTTAGCTGCTCGCCTAAGCCCAAAGTTCGCGCAACCTGGGGAACTGCTGGCACCAAACAGGTGAGCTTTCATACGATAGTCGATTACTTCCTTTGTTGGGTCCCCATCCAACCACCAAAGAAAACGTAACAGATCTCTGTGTTCTTCGGCAACCACGAACTGTCATAAATGCAACGCTTTCCTTGCGAAAACGACACAAGATACTCAACAGATCGTTCATAAAGTCAGGACCTTGCAGCAAGTAGTCATTGAGGCTGACTCCGTTAAACTGAGCCGAACAGTCAAACACCACCCTTATATGCCCTGGTTTCTTTGGATGGTAGACACCTGTATGCGGTACGTAATTGACTTTACCGTCTTGAACCTTAAGACGATCTACAGGAACTTCCTCTGCACATTGTAAGATTATGTCCTTCATAAACGCCTGGTAATCAGTAAAGAACTTCGGATTCTTCTTGAATCTGGCCTTCAGTTGGTTCCACCTCTTTACTGCGAGCTGGCGGTTGTTTGGAAGACACACACTGTCTGATTTCAACGGAAGTGGCATCACGTAACGTCCATCCGATTGTTTCTTTACTCCGTCCTCAAGAATCCTTAGAAATCTCTCATCTTCCATAGAATAAGGTTTGTACTTAAGACTTGTCTCAACAAAGTCAGTTTCTAACACACGGAGAACTTTCTCTGGGCCAATAATCTCTTAAGCCTTCGTGGCGAATGCAAACTGGCTACGAATTTCTGAAGCTGCAACTCTATTGCACACACCCTTGTCTGTGTTTTCAACATCACTAGACTTGCAGACTCTTCCAATAACTCCCCAACCAAGTATAGTCCTCTGAGCGTACGGCTCGTCATCTTCACCGGCAACTATTTCCCTGGGTCGGATAGCTCTTGGGCAGTTGTTTCCAATCAGGATAGAAATTTCTGCATCTGGGTGGTACCGTGTCAACTTATCGGCGATGGGCTTCAGATGTTGCCATTCCCTATCCACTTCAGGTTTTGGAATCTGCGACCGGTTAGCTGAAACAAGTTCCCGGGTGAAGGCCACTGGCATCTTCACTACACATTCTCTATGGTACTCAAGAATCTCTAGCCCAGATATGTTCTTAGTTTTAACACGGGCATTTAATAATAATAATAATGAGTCTTTATTTCACCAAATGATAAAACTACATATCTTATGTTACAATAAGAGAAGATAAAAACTATGATAAAAATATCTACGTTATATGTATATATTAAAAAAATGTATCATTACAATAAATGGAGCTTAAAAATCAACCTATTTACAAAGGTGTTCATAAAACGCTCTGTCTTAATTGTCGGGCGCACGCAGCCTTTTTTCCTAAGATTATGTACATAAGTCTTCTGGAAAGGAATGATATCTTTTAGTGGGTGGCAATCCGTTGATATTAATTTCTTTAAAATGTTTTGGTCTTTTGCTGCTGCATTGTTGTCAACAGAAGCTCGGTTGATGGGCCTTGCAGGTTAAACCGTTCACAAAGAGTCTCAGACACAAAACTGACATTTGAATGATCGTCGAGGACTGCATACTGCAATATTGGCTTCTCTGGCTCTCCCACTGGCCTGACCCACACTGGTTCTATCATGGTGTCATCAAATCCACCGCTTTGTTCAGGAATTAGACATACACTCGTACAATTTGAGATGGCAGCATTGTCTTGTGTTAGTTCCTTGTGAAGGCATGTGGGATGTGTTCCTGAGCATGTTTTCATTTTGTATTTCAACCTCTCCTTGCAGTTTGCTACCTGATGACTCTTACTGGCTGCACAACCCATACATAAACGTTCGCGGAAGAAGAAGTCTCTCCTTTCACTGAAAGGCTTTCTACAGAAATCAGCGCAATCATCTAACTTGTGCTTTGCACCACAAAACAGACACTTCGTCAAACCATTTGGACCAGAGTCCTTTGATTTACTAGAATTAGTGAGGTCTGATTTACTGTTGCCACCACCCTTAGCTGATGTAGAAAGAGAACTACCCTTCTCATTATCTGGTTTCAGCTTCAGATTTCTGTTAAATCTTGGACTACTTGATGGGGCGAGGCCTTCTAACTCTGGGATGTTTGCCTTTTCTGCTGCTTCTCTGATGAAATCTGTAAACTTAGCAAAGGTATGGTAACTGGCTTCACCATGGGTATGTCTCCATTGTTTAATTGCATCTCTCCACTTGGTTTCAAGGTAGTAGGGTAACTTGGATAGTAACTTTACATTCTCCTTTGCAGAGTCCAGTACAGAAAGACCAGGAATGGTGTTCTTTGCTGCTAATACCTTGTCTAACATGTCTGAGAACTCCCTTAAGGCACTGGCATCCTTGGGTCCTATCTTAGGCCACTTCTCCAACTTGTTAATAAATGCTGTACTCACAACATTACAGTTTCCATACCTTTCCTGCAATACAGACCTGGCTTTCTGATAAGCATCTTCTGTCCCAGTCAGAAGATAATGTTCCACAACTTGCTTTGGCTTTCCAGTTACATACTGATTCAACATATTCAGCTTGATGTCTGCTGCCAGTGGTCTAGAGTCAACTAGAGCATTAAAGGCACTCTTCCATACAGGATATTGCAGGGGGTCTCCTTCAAATACTGGAATGGTCAGTTTTGAAAGTTGTCCAGAAACAAACAGTTCTTTGCTCACAGTACTTTGTTCTAAGTTAGCTTCTGTTAACTTGTCCATACACCTTTCTAATGATGAAGCAACCTTTTCCCACCCTTCACAGACGGAGTTAACTTGACCTTGAGGATGAACAAACTGGTAACTTGAAGGGGAATTCATAACTGTTAACGTAATTGGTGATGGACCACTTATGGAGTTAGTTACAACAGGATCAGTTTTTGCCGACGAGAAAGCTTGTGTACAAGCTGCTTCTGTTTGAATGGGAAGACCAAGTTCAAGTTCAAAATGACGAACAGTAAATACTGACTGTGTTACGGCTCCCGGTGAGAATGATGGAGCAGAAGCCCGCAAACCACATGTTGTAGTCTTTGGTGTGGATGTTGTTGTCAAAACAGGTGTTTGGGATACATGTACTTGGGACTGAACTGATGTATTAGTCTCATTTGCACGGGTAGTTACTGTTAGAGATTGCAAGAATCTTTTCACTCCTTCGCCTTTACTCTCACTAGGAAGATTGACTAGATCTTCTTCAAGGGAGGGTGTTTGCTCGTTATCAATCTCTTTGCATACACTTAACTTGGCTCTACTAAGTTCAAGTTCCCTCTTAAGTTTGAATTCTTCCAGTTTCTGCTCCTGTTTTAACCTTTCTGTTTCTAGGGCCTTTTCTTGTTCCACATAGGCTAGCTTCACCTTCAAAGCAGCTTCCTCCTGTAGAAGCTTATATTTATCTACTTAAGTTGAAAGTACACTGTCTGAACTTGATTTTGACTTGACACTTTTGGTTGTTTTACTCCTCTTTGAACCCTTAGAAATGACAGAATTAGACTCCAAAACTGTCTGTTCCAAATACTTTATCTCATCCCTCACATCCCTTTCAAAATCCGACCACTCACCACAAACTTGCTCCCAGATGTTCTTGACCTTTGCTAACTCATCGTCTTGAACTGTTTCCAAAATGTCATTATATGCATCCACAAATTCATTCCACAGAACTTGTGCCTTACTAAGCTCTTGCTTCCACCTTGATAATTCATTACAATGTCCCCGAAGCAACAGTGTTTTTCTCAGCGTTCCCGTAAAACTTGAACTTTTATTCTTGAAAGAGTTCAACTTTATATCGTTTTGATAGGATTGACCCTTTTCGGTTAGCTTCCTGATACGAACTTCCGACGAATGCTGTTCATTTTCCACATGGAAAAATCCTTTGTTTTCGGCATTCTCCGATAGATCAACAATTAAAGGCGAAGACTTCTCGCAAACATCATCCAAACAATTATTTGAAGAGGAACTTACCACCTCACCACAAACATCCGACACTGAAGCCTCAGGAATATCACTCAACTCTCGAGACATGACGAGTACTGAATCCAAACCAAAGGCAATCAGAAATAAATTTCTACAAAGGCTTACACCACTTGGTATCCATTCAAATCCTCCACAGGTCGTCCGGCTTTCGTTATGAACTTCTTGTTGTGACAGCGATGACTTTACGGTGGTTAAAAGCTTCACCAAGGACCATTAAGTTGTTATTGTGGTGCTGCCCTCGAAAGTCGTAGAGTTTCGTTGTTATTCACAAGAAAAAGAGAAAAACTTGAATCGTCAGATCTTTCCTTTATCTCCAAATAATCTTTAACTCTTCAGTTCTTCAGTTCTTCAGAGAACAACTTAGTCTGCCTTACACGATACGGATGAGCGAAGGATTACATGGATTGTAAACCTAAATCACACATGTGATAAACAAGAACATGGCGGCAACTAGCACGAGTCCTAAGCAAAATGGTAACAACCGCTGACCATAAATACTGAAAACTCCTTACTACAGCACTGCTGTAGTAACAATGCCTCTATCTACTGAAACACCTCGGTAAAAACTGACATAGCGAGTTTAAACGAGGTATATATTCCTTCTCTGTTTTGATTGACAGTTTTCAAGGATGACTTTCTCGGTTTTTTTAATTTCCGTGTAGAATTAAATCTTTAACTGATCGAAGCTAGACGTAAACCTTACAATAAACCCGTTAATACTCTGTCAGGCTTGGTTCATGCCGGGTAACGTTTAAGAAATTTATGAACTATCGATCGCGCGGCCACAGTCTGAACCGTATGACCGTACGATTCTCTCCCTGCTCGTAAGGTGTCTTTTCATAGGGCGGGGAAAACATTAATACAACATTGTTCATCATTATTTCCATCGTTTTAGGTTAGGGTAGCAAACCGTTTAGCTTTTAGGGTTAGAAAAGCTGGAACACGACTTCTCTCCCTGGAATGAAGAGAAACAATAAGGCCGCCAAATACATCGTTTTAGTTTTTAAAGTTCTCCTTTATTAATAGCCTGCGAACAGCAGACGCATTTCCGGTCGTCGCTTCTCTCCCTCCTTCTCCCACGGCATGTGTGCCCCTTGCTTTAAGTTTACCTTATTGAATTTACTGGCACACAGATCAGGGTAAGTCCTGATCCGCCTTCCCCGCGCATGCCGTGGGAGAACTGCCGTGCGGTTCCCAGCCCGAACAGTTCCCACATGTGTTGAATGGAGCTGTCGCTTAAAGGAGTGCTTGCACTCGCCTCGGCAGTAAAGGGTCTTTGATACACGGGGATTTTCCCCGTTCATTGACCCGACGGTTATGCCATGCTGATGAACCCTAAGAAGGGCGAAACAGCTGTCCATGGGGGCCACTGCCCGGGTGATATGGCTGTGCACATGCGTGAGGTACTGGCCAGGCCGTGGGTTGGTGTGTGTGTGCCCCTGCAACTGTTTTTCATTTTTTTTTTGTCAATATCTAATTTAGGGGAGTTGGAAACAGTGATGAAGGCTATATCAAAGTGCCACGCTTTGAAGATTTTAAAACAGACCCCTATGTGGCTATCTTACGACGGTCGCTACAACAATCAGGGTTTGCAAACGAAACAGTTATGCAACAGCACGTAACATACTTTCCCTGCCCTAGAGGAACATTTGTCAATGCATCAATTAAAGATTGGCCGAGCTGTGAACTTTGCCCTCCAGGTAAATTTTTGCCATGTGATCTGACGTTAGCCAATGTTCCATCATCCATATCTCTGTCTCTCTCTCTCTAAAGTTTCTGACTTTAGTTTTGTTGTTGTTGTCGTTGTTTTCTTCAATATGTATATTTCTTACGTTCATTCATGTCTATATTCACTAATCCATTGATCCATTTTAATCGTTCTTTCCCTTCGTCCGTTTTCTTCTCTTTTCTTTGATCGTCCGGTCCAACAACCACTTCGTCTATCGATTGGTCTACGTTAGGTATTGCTTCTTTTACTTTCAGTCCCTAGTCATAATTCTGTTCATTGCAATTATTTATGCTTCTCCAGTAACATCTTTTCCTTTGACGCCTTGTTATTCATCTTCCTCAATCCATTTCGTATATTATGGGCGTGTTCGATTGATCTTCTTCCGGAATAAGAGTAAATGAAATACGCTCGGTAAATCACTTGTTTTGGCACTCATTGCATTGAAATATCTAGAAATCTGCTTGAAATAAAATATTTCAATGAAAGTAAGGTTTGAAAACAAAACTTTTGCGAATTATTTTTTTGGAAAAAGGGCGATCGACCACGCCCTAACCATGTTAAGCAATAAGAATCTTTTCATTCCTGTTAATGTTTCATTTTGCAGGAGGATATTTTTCGGACTCCTTAGCTTTTGTAAGCAAACTGGGCTGTAGAAAGTGTCCAAATGGAACATACGTTTCTCTCTACAATAGACCAGGGACACATGCATTAAACTGCACCGCGTGCCCTCAAGGTAATGACGCAACCCCGATTATTGTTAAAGGGTAATGATAATTGTACAGCAATTTGATTTAAAATGTTCTAAGAAGTGAAGATAGATTTTATTGAACCAAAAATTGATTCCACAATCTCCTTTTAACGTTTAGAAATTTTTCGAGCACTGCCATTTTAAATTTTGTGAAGTCAATTGATCGCTGCAGTTGGGTCTTGACAACAGCAGTCACCAAATGAGGTCAATATTAATCTCCTACCCAGACCTCTCTCTGCCAAAGACAGAGTGAGATCTGGGTACGAGATTTTGTCAGATTGATACAAAAGGCGACACGCAGGAAATCTAAAAAAAATTCGTGTCATGTCTACGTAGAAAAAATTGAAATTCTTTATAACAAATTGCTCTGACAGTCGTGGTTTCCCAAGAGAGCTGTAGAAAAATTGATTTTAAAAAATCGATTTTTGGCCTTTTTATCTATTTATGGAAGTTTTCTTCAATTAACTGTTATGTTATCCTTGACTCCTTTACAAAGGAACAGACACCAATTCGTTCGCTGGATTTCGTGCATGCAAATGCTTGGATGGTTTTCATCGCACTCACATGTTTAAAGGCTGTCAGCGGTGTGATAAACAAGGGTGGAAATGCGAAAATGACTACATTACACTTAAGCCGGGCTATTGGTGGAAATGGTCCAATGACTCCGTCAACCTCTATAAGAACTACACCTCAAATCTGCTGTCATCAAATCCTTCCTTCGACAGTAACAGAGTCCAATACAATTATTCGTTGCCTATGCCACATGAATGCCCAAGAAACGAATCATGCTTAGGAGGTCTGGACTCCAAATGTGAACAGGGCTATAACGGGACCCTCTGTGAAGTTTGTAGCCATGGGTATTACAAACACCTTCAGACTTGCAAGAAGTGTCCAACAAAGGCTTGGATGGTGGGTCAATTGACCATCACCTTCGTTTTGCTGTTGCTCCTTGTAGTGGTAGTAGTTTGGACGAGCATTAAGAAAAACAAAGAAAACAGAGAGCGCGCTTTGGTTGACATAATTTTGGCCAGGCTAAAAATCGTCATTGGTTTCTATCAGGTTACGTTTGGCATACTGAATGCTTTCGCTTTCATTAAGTGGCCTGATTCCCTGGCTGCCATAGCAAAATATTCCAAAATGCTTCAACTAAATGTTCTTCAGATTGCTCCAATTCATTGTCTATTTCCTCAGTTAAAAGTGGATGCATTTGGGAGTTTGTTTGCTATCCTCGCAATGAATGCAGCTGCTGTTGCAGTGGCTGGGACATCTTATGGAATAAAAAGGCTTTTGATGATCTTCAAAAGTCGTCACCTGGAAAATGATGCGGTAGCCAAGCAGATTTCAAAATGCAAGGAGCTTATCTACAGAAATCTTTTTTTCTTCTTGTTTGTTACTTATCTTAGCACCTGCTCAAAAACAGCAAGCGTCCTTCCCCTTGCCTGCCGCGAGATTTGTTATGAAGATGACGGTAAAGATTGCTTCAAATATCTAAAAGCAGACTTTACTATTGAATGCAATAATCCAGAATACAAGCGCTTGGTTTCTGTAGCATATTTTGCAATTGCATACATCGTCTTTTTGCCTCTTGCCTCTTACCTCTTTCTCTGGAAACAAAACAGAAAAGTCAAAGCATCGTTAAACAACTCTGGACAAAAGCAAACTTTTGGAAAAGAATTGGCGGCAGGGATGAGGTTTCTTTCTGAAAATTACACAGCCAGGTCATGGTATTGGGAGCTTGTCGAGACAGTTCGCAAAGTCATATTGACATCTGGCTTGATTCTCGTGGGAGTGGAGAGCAGGGCATACGTTGGATTGGCTTGCGTTATTTCGGGACTGTATGGAATATTTTTTGCCTACGTGAGACCAGTAGAAGATCCATTTGAAAACAAACTGATGCTTACTTCTCTTGCTGTTACGTTCGTCAATCTGGGCATTGGAGCTGTCAGCAAAATTCCCAAAGAAAATGTTCCAGCGTCGATAGATCGGTATGTGGACTCTGTTATGTTCAACATATTGGTGATTGCTGCCAACACTCTTGTGATCGGATTACTTATTGGTGAGTAGGCTGAAGATTAAGACCACGAGAAGCCTCTCTTTTTTCTTAGTCCGCCGAGCGAAACGCGCGAGACACAAAAAAGACCACGCGCGTGACTGAAGGCGCCAAACTGGAAAGCCGCCTCTTCGCTCGACGCTTATGCGCGCGTGCACTTTCCTTCCTATATTCTCCCCTCCCTCTACCCCTACGTTCCTGACTGGGAAACTCTCTCCCTTCTTCTTCTCCCTCTCCCTTCTCATATTTTTTTTCTCTCGTTCCAGCTTTCGTTCATTAAGTCGAGCAAAAAAGCTTGCTACGCACACTAAAGTGGCAGCAGCAACAATTCATCAATTAAAGCTACGAGCCCTGTATTGCAAACGCAGGCTGTATTGTGTTGTTTCTAGTGGGCAGATTTTGCTTACTCTCTTTATGTCTTTATTTCAGTTCAGTACTCGTTCCGTCTTTACCATTTCATTCAAAAATGGAGAAAAAATCCCCAGTGGTCCATGTCCTGTTGCCTAGCAATGCTTCTTCCTCTTAACGACCTGCAAGGAGAAATCCAAGGCATGATGGGGCGGAATGTTGGGAGGCAGAGAATTAAAAGTGGACGAATGGCTATACCCTCCGTGGCTGGCGCCGTGAAGGAAACTGGGGCTATTGCCTTTCAGCTTGAAGAGGACGACACAACTGAAGTTGCGCCAGACAGCATGGGTGGCCATGACGACAGCTCGCACAGTCCACAAATTGCCACGTACCCCACAGATCCCTTTATAACTGACTTTGCTTTATCGCCACTTGTTGTTCATTACCGCTCGAATAGAAGGGAGACCTCAGTGTAGGAATAAATGGCAAAGGATGCTTACAATTTACATGGGAAACCAGAAATTCTGGTTGGAAAATGAAATAGTTCGCGCCCGCATTCCATTTACGAAGCTTCAGAAAATATGGGCAGTGATTTCAGGCTATTTAACTTTTCCACTATATTTAGTCTGTCCAGCTTATTTGGGTATAATATGTGGCTTGTCGTTATCCCACCGCCTCAAATTTGATGGTTTGATATTTCTTAACAAGATTTCCACCCTTGTCGTTTGTATAAATGCATAGTAAGCAACTGAAGAATGAAAAAATATTTTCGGAAGAAAGAACATAAGTTAGGTAACAGAACGTTGTACATTCATTTTGTAACTGTACTTTGAATACAGGAGTAGAGCTGGTTCCATATGCATGATTAATCTCGAAGTGTAATTTGATGGCATAGCACAAAACAAAGCCCAAGGGAGGGAGGGAGGGAAAAATTTTTACAAGAATAATATACTGAGCGCTCACCTTGCTAAATAACAGAACCCAAGTGAACCCTGAACACTTGTCATAGGCTTTTATAGCTAGACAAACGTCTGCTGGCATAGCCAGTAGAAAAGCCCGTACCACAAGACTTAGACAGCTCAGCGTTGCACGTGCGAAATCTTAGCCATGAATAGTGCATTGAAAAAGTTGGACAATGCTGTGGATCAATTGGCCTGCTAAAGACAACAAGGCCGTAAAGTTATACGCTAGAATACAATGTATCTTAGAGCTTGCTGACCTTGGCAGCTTGACTAAACAACTGCTTTATTGAAAAAGAACCGCCATGAAATGGTTACTGACAACTAACGTCACGTTCCATTAACTAAATTTTACTGGCGTGACAGTAAAATTGCTTTTAATTAGAGATCCGGCAAGAAAGAATGAGTCAGCTTTATTTACGCGTTGAGTGAACCTCTGCATTCAAGAGCTTTTACTAATTTTATGGTTTGCCACACCATGTATGTCGTTTTGAAAATGCCTCAGTAATCTTTAGTTATTAAATAAAACTAGGGACACTCCTCGGCGGTGCGGTTAAGTCTGCGCAGCGACTTCCCCCAAGCTTGTTGGCCGCGTTGCTGTTTAATATCGCCTGCAAACCGATACTCTTGTCCGATCCAGCACCTGCTGTATTGCATTCAGCTCGTAGTGCTGGAAAGATTAGTGATGTTCTTTGGTCACGCCATCGCCGGAAGTCGCACAGGCTAACCTAGCGCAAGGCAGTGCTCCCCCATTAATGCCAACTTGTCATTATTTGTTTGTATAATTTAGTTACTGCGTTTAACATGCATCGCAAAGGAACAGAGACATTAAGAAATGCTAATGCCAGACGTTACTTGAAGAGGGAATTAAAACAAAACTGAATGCAAGGCTGGCAATATGGCAAAGGGCTGATTTATTTGAGGCCAGTAATTCGGCTAATAAAATTAGCTTGCCTTTAAGATGTATTTTTTTTGGCATTTCTTCGACGATCAAATTATAAGCTGTTTCACGGATCACTTATACCCTGACAAAACAGCCGACATTTCGCGACGCCACCACTGGTTTCCCCGCGGAAAGAGATCTCACAGACGATCGCAAAAAACGCGACACCATTTAGATCTGGATCTGGAAAATTTCCTTTAACCAATCATAAGCACTACCCAGATCGCGTCATCAGTATGGAATTTCTGCGCACCTTTCTCGGTGGCGAGGTCTCGAAATTTCGGCTGTTTTCGTCTCTCAGGCTTTTTTTTTTGTAGTTATAGTTCGATCACCTGGTAGCGATAGTACTGAAGTCCTGTTTCCTCTAATATCCTTTAAGTTCTGGTATTTGACCGTTTTATTCTAGTTCTATACCGATATATTCAAGGATTTTGTCTTTTTTGGGGAGTGAGTTAGTGCGCTTGTTTGAATGGGTAGCTTATTTGCTTATTTGATATTTTTTCAGCCTCAAAAAGGGCGGCTTATTCGAAAGTGGACGCATATTTGAAGGAGGACTTATGTGAATTCGAGCATTTACAGCAAGCGTAAAAAGAGAAGCTGACAACGTTCTTCGTCGAAACTGCGTCGTTTGCACCGTTGATTTTTTGCCATACTACTTAGGGCGCTTTCCATTTGCCAAGACCAGTCCAGTCAGTAAAGAGAGTTATTAATCAGAACTATCCTGAGATCAGTATTTGCACGGCAGTGACGGGTTTTAGTTAAAATTTCGATAAAAATATTTGGAAAGCGCCCTCGTGATATTGTTTCTACTGTATTTATGCAATATATAGATTTAGTCAGGGCTAAAAGCGAAGCTTTCATTAATAAATTTATTATTTAAATCAAACAACAAACTTGTAATCCACAAATCAGTCACATTCATGTGACTGTTGAGGGAAAGGCTTTGTGATTTTAGAGTGAAACATCTTACATCGAGTTGATAGCCTTGTATGTACACCCGAGAAATACAGGAGCCGGCTCCTGAAAATACCAATCATCCTCGATCTCATTTAAGAGCTATAAGGGCTCTTGATTACAGTAGATTACGCCTGGAAAACAAATTCTCGCATGGAAAACAAATCAGGCCCAGTTTTTTGCGTTCGACAAGTTTACTTTACAAAATCTTGCCAACAAATTTTATATACTTTTTATACATCACATCTGAGGTGAAAGAGTATTCTATGAGGCACTGTATTTATCATACAGACCTTGGACAGAATGCAGTATTTCACAATTTTTCAAGACAAATTGCACCCAGTCAATATTCGGGACGATCAATCCTGGGCTTTTTAATAGCGAAACCGTTCAAAAAATTTCCAAAATCACCTATACGGCCAGCCGGTTCTCATTTTTGACAAGCGCCAAACTTGCAGTGCGAGCTGTGTCGAGTGTTTGAATGAACATTAATAGAGTTACGCTTCAACATAATAAAGAACATAATATATTATGTTTATTCTTTTATTTAATGGGTTTATAACGTTTGATACGCGCGGCATTTTAAGTCCTCCTGTAAGCGATGTTCATGAACGACTGAAAACAAACGGCACAGCGATTAAATTTGCCAAAGAGCCCGGTGTTTGCTTGTTTCAAAGATGAACTCAAAACAAGAAAATCGCTCAAAGTTTTCTTTCTACAGCCAAATTTATAACTAAATATCCTTCAGAACGTTTCTTTCTATCTGGGGTGAGAAAGTATATCTAAAGGCTTTTTAAAGTTCTGCCAAATCTTACAAACGCGCATAAACTTGCCGCATAACTGTGATCGACTTCACGAAATTAGATATAAAACAACAAACATCAAATACAATAATTACTCAGGAATACCAGTTGAGAAGCAGCTCCTGAAAGCTATATATCAAGTAAGACCAGAATGGTGTGAGACTTTTCAACCCTCTTACGTATCAAGCAACGTGAAAACCGAAAACGATGCCATCCGAAATCGGATTTCCGACTTTGACAAGCGACGCATTTCTCAACCAAAAAACCAATAAACAAACTAGCTATGAATAACAGAAGACTCTTGATAGCAGCTGCATTTTATTTTTTACATCAAGTGGAAAAAGACAGTTAAATACATCACAGGTTGACGGAAAACTCTGTTAGCTTCAGCTGTCAACACTGGACGAAAAAAAGGGATTTGCTTTTAATTTGCTCAGCGCAAATATGATGCAAATTTGTGCAAACTGGGGAATAAATCTGAGCACACCTTTTACACCGGGGTGTAAATAGGTATGCAAATTGAGGTATGCCTCTGAGTCAATAGCCCATTCGGCCTTCGGCCTCGTGGGCTACTGACTCAGGGCCCATTCGGGCTCGAGGAATAATTGTTAAATATTTCCGATTTATTACTACATCACCTTTTCCATATCGCCAAACGATATATTTACACATGTAAGTTAAATAATTTCAACCTTGTGCTACAGGTTTATATACAAACCGTAATGAACTCCATGAAATTGAAAAAGAGGTTGCATCTAATAATAACAATATATCTTCCTTCAAAAACAAATGGAGCCCTCTTAAACTTTCATCCTCGGACAAATTGCTGGTTTTCAGTGTCACGCCATTCAAAGTAGATCAAAATAAAAATCAAAACCGTTCAATAGATAAAATCCAGAACCTGGAAAATAAAAAGGAGGGAAATATGCAAAGACCCTCGCCAATATTCAGGCCAGAGGACTATTTCGTATACGAGATATCCGAAGAAATGTTTTCACAAAATTAGTAGAGATTTGTATGGAGACGCCATGCTGGTGCCCATCCAGATAGGTGCCAACACGGCGGACGGAAACCAACACAAACATCTGTTACCGAGTTTTGCTACAAAAGCGTGAATTTATAGTTATTCTTCGAGGAACTTTTAAAACATTAAAGTAATACTTTTTCTAATACATGAACTGTTTAGATAGCAAAATTCCCTGAAATAAGTGATTTTTTTAACCTACATGACAGTTCTCTTAATGCCGCGTCACGCAAAAGCTTAGAAATTCAAGCGTACTCTATCACAAAACCAAGAACCCTTTTTAAGCGAAAATTCGTATGAAAATTAGTTTTCAGCTGCTCTAATACATCGTGAAAGTAAAATTTCGGTGGGATCGATAGTTTTGTAGTTTTAATTTTGGTGACGTCATATGAAAACCAACAATAAACTTGCTGATATTGTTTGTTTTCACGTGACGTCACTAAAATTCAAACTAAAAAACTATCGATCCTACCTAGATTTTACTTTCACGATGCATTAGAGCAGCTGAAATCTAATTTTCATACAAATTTTCGCTTCAAAAGGGTTCTTGGTTTTGTGATAGAGTACGCTTGAATTTCTAAACTTTTGTGTGACGCGGCATTTACTAGCCTGTTCCAGGCTCCGAGATGGTGGTGGAAAGTCGTTCAGTAAAAAGAAATTCGAAAAACGCGCGGGGACTGGGGAGAGACAGGGCGGCGGAGCCTGTACGCATTTTTTTTAACGGCCTGTTCCGGTATATCAGCTCCTTGTATACCCTCTGATTGGTCAATTGTGACAGTTAACATCATCACCTAGTAGCGTGGTCATCAGTTTGTCATCACCAAGATGGCTAACGCGAATCGCGCGTGTGATCTTCATGAATCCGCGCTGTCTTGTGCTTTGGACGAGTCTGCGACTTGGCTCGCGGTAAAGATGTTTTCGGTATTATGCCCACCGGTTTCGGCAAAAGTTTAATCTTGCAGCTATCCCCACGCTTGGCTAAAGCTGCGCTAACCCTAGAAAACTCTACGATAATCGTTTTGCCGCTGATATCTATAATGCGAGACCAAGTGGAACAACTGAAAAAGCTTGGATTTTCGGCGGCACTGAGCTATTTGGCATCGGTGAAGAGGGAGAGGAGGACGAGAAGAAAGCGAGAGAAGGAAACTGCGAAATTGTTTTCGGTAATCCGGAGTCCTGGTTGATCACAAAGTGGCAATAACAAAACAGTCCGAAGACTGTTAAGCTTATTCCGCTATTACCAAGGGAGAAACTAGGCGCTCCAGTCAAAAGACTCACACTATTTAAGAGAAACATTATTAAGCTGGAGTTTACTGAGTCACAATGCAATTCTCCTTAGTTGATGTAGCTTAAGTTTAAGCTGCACTTCATTCTTATAATTCTGGATCTGTAAATCACTATTCGTGATAATTTAACATTCTGCAAAGAAAACTAACGAGCTGGTTCCAGCGTGATACAACATTGCAGAAAAACATTACATTAATTCACGGACTAAAGAAAATCATTTAGTTTGTCAGATCCAGAAGGCACTTTGGAGAAAATTAAAACCCTCATTCATCCGCAATAAAAAGCTTTCCGCTTCAAATTAGAGGTCAAAGAAAATGCTCTCTCATCAGAGGGCAAATCCTGCCGACCAGAAACAAACTCCACAGTAAATCGATATGTGTGCCATGACCTCTCAGTGTGAAACAAGAGGCTAAAGTCACATTTCCTCAGCGACCATGTAGAACCCTCCAGAGCATAACCTACCCAACAGAGGAAAAAACTTACCGCCCCCTTTTATTGCTATAAACTAGAGCCGAAAAAACGGATCATCTCACAGGATAACGAATTCGAAGACATAAATTTCCACACATATCGCACAAGGAGTTCGCGTCGCGTGAAATGCTCGCGCGAGAAACTTGAGAATGATTGTAGCTAACTGAAGTGTTAACAGTTTTGACAGCCGAATCCAGACGTGGCAAAAATGGGCGGAAGAGGGTCGTTAAAGAAATGCTAACAGGCTCTCTCTCCCATTTTTCCCGCCGCCACCGCCCCCTTTCCCAAGTCGTGCGCGTCTTATTTTCGCTTTGCTCGTTTTAATACGTTTCCACTATACTATCTGAGAGCCTGGCACAGGCTAGACATTTACATGATGGCCAAGAGAACTGTCATGTAGGTTAAAAAAATCACTTATTTCAGGGAATTTTGCTATCTAAACAGTTCATGTATTAGAAAAATTATTACTTTAATGTTTTAAGAGTTCCTCGAAGAATAATTATAAATTCACGATTTTGTAGCAAAACTCGGTAACAGATGTTTGTGTTGGTTTCCGTCCGCCATGTTGGAGCTCATCTAGGTGAGCACCAGCATGGCGTCTCCATACAAATCTCTATAAGTTTGGGTAAAACATTTCTTCGGATATCTCATGTACGAAATATTCCTCTGCACTGAATCTTGGCGAGGGTCTTTGAATGTGTGCCTCTTTTCATTTCCCAGATTCTGGATCATCTATTGAACGGTTTTGATTTTTATTTTGATCTATTTTGAATGGCTTGACACAGAAAACTAGCAATTAAATAAATCCAAAAGTTCCAAAAGTTAAAGTGATGCAGAAACAAGTGCAAATGCAAAGCACCTTTTAGTTAGTAGGATAGACCCGTTATGTTTATGTTGTATCTTGTTTTTATCGTGCAATTTTGCAATTAGTAGTCAAATTTGTAATTAGTTGTACATAAATGCTCTAACATCGTATTTTGCCTTTCTCTCTTGTGCGTTGTTTTTATTTTCCCTAGTAAGTAAGTAAGTAAAGCCTTTATTTAAAGAGGGTAGCACCGAATAGCCAAAGGCTAATAAACTTGTGGCCCTCATAAAATACACAACTGTTTACAATCTAATAAATATTGTAAGCTAAAATATATAAACATTTAAAATAAAACAAGATTCGATTTTTATATATATAAAAAAAAAATATAAATGTAAGTATTGCCATAAGAAGAATTGTATCTAATATATGTTATTAAAAAAAAGAGAAAGATTTCGGCTTAGCTATGGGGCTCCGCCCACGCGCACGCGCGTGGAGCTCTGCTAAAAAGTCGCAAAAAAAAAAAAAAAAAAACGTCATGTATGCACGATGATCATGAATGCCCCTCCTTGTCTGGGAGACTAAGTTCCAGTTGTCTGTAAAAACAACATGGCAACGAACAGGAAGCATTGATGATGAAGTTTTATGTCCATTTTGACGGTCCTCCTGCGTTCACCCTGGTTTACAAATGGGGTAGTGGTAAAAAGGGAAACGTTAAGCTCTTGCTGGATGTATTTCTAGCTGCTTTCAACGAAAGATGCCGTCCTTTGACCAAGCTTTCTCTCGACAACATTTCACTTGTAGACAGGAAGAAAGCCTTAATACCATTTGAGAAAGACGTTGTTTCAGTCATCAAGGATGGTTTAGATCTCTTTGTTGTTTTAAAAGAGTTTTCCAAAGCAAAAGAAAGACGAAAAAATGTCGTGGAAACCTTAGTACAGACTACTGCTTCTTCAATTCATCTGCTGTCTGTTAAAGAGAAAGGTGAAAAACAATCCAGAATAGTAAAAACCACAGTGGGTTCTGAGAAAGATCTGAATACCGGTGGATCTGTTACAAACGCTTGTCTCACTCTTCTGGACCTCAAAAAGCTGGGCAGTCTGAGAAATGCAGCCTGCATTTGTACCCAAGCCTTGCAAGATGAAACAAACAACTCATCTGCTCTTTCGTGCTTGGCTGAAATTTACTTAGAAGCAGGACGTGCAAAATTAGCATTAGAGTACATTAAGGCAGCAATTGAAGTTAAACCCAATGATACAGGTTTGAGCTTTATCCTTGGAAGTTGTCTAGCTGAAGTTGGAAGATTTAAGGAGGCAAGAGATGCCTATTTGAAATACATGGACCATTTAGAAACCATTGGAGCTTCTCAAGGGCAGAAACATGACATCCAAGCAGCCATTGCCGACACTTTTGCTAAGGAGGGAAAAACTGAAATGGCAGGGAAGCTCTTTTCAGATGTGCTGAGAGAAAATGACACTCATGTCGCAAGTTTAAAAGGGTTTGCTACTTGCACTGCAGCGATGTCTGAAAAGGACTCTCATGAGGCAATAACTATCATGATAACTGCACTGGTGCTCAGCAAAGGTGAACGTAATATTAGAAGAGAGGTTGCCAAGCTGATTAGCCGGCCTGGTGGAATGGATGTGTTTAGAAATCAAATGCGTGAAACTTGGGAATCATCAGAATCAATGATGTTCATGGCTGACATTCTGCGTGAATCAGGTGCAATAAGACAAGCTTTAGAATTAGTTGAACATGCCGGTCAGCTGTCACCTTGTGATCCTGGCATCTGCCTTTACCTTGTCCATACTTACGAAATTCTAAATGAGTATAACAAGGCTTTCCAAGTGGCATGTTCCTTCATAAAGAGAAATGATGCCCTTAAAATTGCAAACATTTCATTCTCTCAGATTGCACCATTCCTTCTGCAGGTTGATGAAGGTATCTATCTAAACAATGCAGTAGTAAAAGAATTGCCAGAATGTAGTGGTCAAGATTATGTTGGAGCAGTTTTGGAATCTGAATTTCAACAGCTGGGACTGTTGTTTACACTGGTGAAAATCTTGTTTGTGAAAGGAGCACTCAACCTTGTGAAACCTTTGCTACCAGTTCTGGATAAACTTCACAGTGGAAGAGACCTACATCTCACATTGCTACGAAATGAAGCTGCATTTTATTCATGCATTAGTCATTTAATGAATGTGCCATTCACATGTATGCCATTGCCAATGAAACAAGAGTTTATTTATTTTGCTTCTGACAGTCACTGTTTGTCACCTGCATGGAGAGTGATCAATTACAGAGATCAACCACATGTTATTCATCCCTTACTGGCTACAGGTGTGAAAATCTGGCACATTAGAAAGGAAGGATGCTTTTACCCTAAATTTTCCCTCTTAAATGCATTGAAAGAAGTTCCAAATGGCTCGTATATCATTTTCAACATTGGAGAAATTGATTGTCGTGAAGGCCTTTTACGTGCAGTACACAACTGCAAGTATGACACAATAGAGGAAGCAATTTCAGCCGCTGTAGAAATCTACATTGGATTTCTTCAGGAGCAAACAGAGCAGTGCAGTTTTGTGACTTTTGTGCACCCCATATTTCCTGTCTTGGATGAAACCAGGGCTGTGGTGTTAAAATTCAACCAGAAACTTGAAGAGCACGTAAAGAAGTGCAGTGGGTTGCACTGGCTTAATCTTTTGAATGAATTGCTTGTAAAGGAACACTCTGAATTCAACAGTGAATACAAACTTGATGGCACTCATGTTCACCCAAAGTATGTCTCTCTGTTGGAGAGGGCATTGAAAGAGGCATTTAATTAGTCAATTAACAGTCCCTCATATACTTTGAGTCAATCTTACTCTCAATGAGGAGTAGTGGCCTTAATCAACTGCACTCATTGGTTGATTTGGATTTTTTCATTTTTTAAAGATGTGAATTTTAACATGTAGTTAATTTCAAGAATGTCATTGATCCAAAAACTCATGTAATGAAGTCTATTATTTTTATGTAGTCATTATAGAAAGTGGTTTACCACCACTTCTTTATGGGCTCTGCTTTGAAGCGTTTAATCATTTTCACCTAAAATAAATGAAGGGTTTCAAGAAGTATGCCATACCCCTTGCCGGGGGAGGAACTCCGCATATGAAAGTGGTGGGGATGCTCGTCGGAAATTGTGAATTAAACCCCTAAAGGAGACCGATCTGGGCGCGGCCCAAGCTTTTTTTGATCCCTAAAAGAGGCCATGTTAAAACACAGACGAATGAGAAAACTTGGATTATATAAACAGAGTAAATTAAACGAATTAAAAATATACAATATCAAATATATATTTTTATATTTTTTCACGTGCAACCCTAAACGAGACCTTCAAGGCTAAATGATGATGGCGTTTTGCCCAGAGCACCCTAAATGAGACCAAAATTCAAAATTTACACCCCTAAGCGGGACGACGAGCATCCCCACCACTTTCATATGCGAAGTCCCCCCCCTCCAGGGCACTTGGTTTCAGTTCCCTTCAGTTCCTAATTTGGCGAATAGCTTTTTGTAAGGATTGAAACCTGCTAGTTTGGCCCGAAGAGAAACTGAAAACAATGATTATGCAAAATTTGGGGGTGACAAACAGAGAGCATTATGGTATGTTATGGTATTTTCTGGAGTGGTCAATTGTTGAAGTCATTTTTGTAAGGTATGCATCATTATATATGACGAAAACAACACAGTATTAATTTACTCATTGGACCAATGCCCTCAAATAGGCACCACCTCCATACAAGTGATAATGCAACGCATTGACTTTAAGTATCATTTGACTTTGTTAAATAGTGCTGTCAGATCTGGAAAAGGACCTATTAAACCTTCAAAACTAGCTTCTATTTTGCCTGTCCTATGCTATTTCTGTTTTGTACAAAACAAAGAAAAGGAAAGAAAAAATTAGTAGCACTGTTATTTTAAAAAAGGGGAAATTTTGTATAACCAATGCTTCGTCAAGTTCAAAAATAAATAAGTGCTGCGGCGCTCTTTGGAGTAAAAAAGTTGTGCTATGTTAACTAGCAGTAGCTGTTACGAGGTGCGGGCGAAACCTCTTTCATGTGAATTTTTTAAATCCGATGCGCAACAAGATAATGATTGTTGTATTACTTGCATGTGCATTCAAGTGATTACACCAGGGTCTTCGTGGCCATATTCCATGCATATTAGCCAGTACAACTCAGGCATTCCTTGCCTGGGTAGCAGGCGCTTGGACAGTAGTGGGCGCAAGAAAGAACGGGCGCGCGAGAGGCGTCCGTTCTTTCTTGCGCCCACTATTTTCAAGCGCCTGCCACGCAGGCTGGGACATTCCAATAATGTGGACAGATTCGGGAAAAATCTCGCTATAGAGTAAAAGAAGTAACGCTGACCAAGAATAGGTGGAGGGCTCCTTTTGTCGCCCGCAACAAGGAATTCAGTATCTCTCAATGTCTTCCTACGACATTACGCAAAACCACTAAAACGCTTGTCTTTTATGGTATACAATAACCGAATCACTAAAGAAAACATGTCCGCAGACATGATTAACCAGCCAGAATTCAGAGAATTACGGTGAGTTTTCATGGATTCCACCATATGTTACGAGACCGCTGCTGTCAAAAGGGCGATCAACGATAACCGCGGCATCTCTCTGATTGTTGTCAAAGTGAATACACTCCCCCCTCCCCCACCCCCTCCGACAGTCAACTCTCTAAGTAAAAAAAATGGGGAAAGAGATACAAAGCTGACGTCGTTGCTAATTGTAGTGATTAAGATTAGTAAAGATCAGAAAATACAGACGAGATCAAATCGGAAAATATAATTGACCTAAAGTATACTTGAGTGCCTTTGTTATGTTTTGACAACCGTGGGAACCGCGTTCGAGCGGAAATATTTCACCTTATAAGATTTTAAGTAGCTTTTTTTATTGAATGTGATTGGGCAATAATCTAAGAGTGTCGATCTGAAAACGTAGTCTCTTTGTCATGTTTATACAAAACGACAAGTTTATGGCAGGTCATACATGACATACATTTCCTGATTGATTACAGCAACTAGAACAAAAATGAAGAGATCAAAACGTGCTGAACAAAAAGATTTGTTACTACTTCTTTTTTCTGTTTGCAAATATAGATGAAAAAGACGTCAATGAATCTCGGAGTTTGACGAAATCTTTGATGTAGCTTAAGTAAATGGCGGTTTTGTTTGTTTTATCTATGCAGTAAAGGTTTTTAAACAACCATGGCAAATTTACTTTAGTACTGACATCAAAACTGGGGAGTTCGTTCGCGCAATAAAGCATATCAATTCTTTTGTGACCAATAACAATAGCCTAATGGTTCAGGAAGCAATTGGAGTTTAAGACAAACATAAATACATCGATCTTGGCGTGAGAACCTTCATAAGTGATTACATAAAGCGATCAGCGATAGTAGAACTGATTACTGCAGAGCACGCTTGGGGAATGTGAGCATTCTTCTTACATGTAGCAAAGAAACACTCGCAAGGAGAGGTCAGAACAGCTCCAAACTGAGATACTGTTGCAAAGGGTAAGCGGGATTGGATTGTTTGTAGTCGTCTGAAAAAGTTACAGAAGTTTAACACCATTATATATAAATTAATAGCAGCTATGCTATTGATCAGTAGCAAAAAACATTTTTCAAACCACTCAGTAACCAGACAATGACGAAATCCACAATAGAGCCGTGTCTAAACCGATCTATGGTGCAAATTTAGGGCTCAGTCTAACGGAAGTTCAGACGGCAACCATCCTGCAACGTGCAAAGCCAGATACTGATGTTGAAGTTTAGTTCCTGTTTAGGACACTCACTTACAGATTTTGATTACTTTCATGCAAAATTATCAGGAAAAATTGACTATCGATGCTTTTTATGCAAACTTTAAACTACCGTCGCAGTAGACCTGACTTTGAGGAAACTGTTCTTTGTACTAAGTAATCGGTTGTATGAGGCTTATTTGCGAGAATCAAGAATATACTTGAGAAGACTGATTAGGATATTCAGTTATTTTCTCTTGGTTTGAAACAAAACTCATGGATAGCATTAGGTTTGGTCATTAAGGTATATTATGTGTACAAGAAAATTTGTTTTCAAATTCATTTGTAACGCTGTGTTTAGACTAAAGACTCCCGTACAGTTTTGCCATAGGCAATCGCCGCATGCCTGGTTATAACTGAAAGGAGACAGCTGAGCGATTTAATGAGGGTCAGTTCGTAAATCTCACAAAATAAACTAGAAGATTAGTTTTGACTTTATTAAAAAAATACGCATCTAACTAACTACAAGAGAGAATGATCTAACTAGTCACTGTATACATGAGTCGGAAGTTGTTTTTATGATTTTCTGCATATCCATCAGTCAAGTCATTTTTTTCTAGTGGATTATGTGAAGCACTAAAAATAGCCTAAGTTATTGAAAAATCGTAAAATGCTGGCATAAAAAGCTGTTAATGAGGTGATGAATTGACCCTCTACAAGAATGACCAAAAAGAGGCCACAAAAGACTACCCTAGGTGCTATACAGGATTTGTTTTTCTTACCTTATTCCTGATCGGGGCGAGCTTACCGTGAGCACGGTTTAAGTTACCTTAGGTATTTCGAGAACAGACCTCTTGAGCCCGTAGGGTAAAAAAAGACGTGCGTAATTCATAAGCAACGGCCGATGACATTAATCGGGCATTGGATTTTATCTAAGCTCTAATGGCAAGGCAAGGGAACAGGACACAGAATAAAATATCCAGGGTGTTAAATGTCCAGCACGCAGCATTAGTTGCGGAATCGTGTCAAGAAAACGCCGTACTAAGCACGCTCGAGCTAGGATTGTGCCGAACTGAAGTAAAGTAAATAAAGTCAAGTAAAACTTTATTTCGACATTGTGGCCTATCCATGATCAGCTCGGGGGCTGGTCTCCATAGGGGCCCTGCTTCTTAAAAAACACTTTACATTAAGAATTTATAATTACATCTTTAAAAGCCTAAAAATCCAATAATAGTAATTAAAACTGCCTTCAAAAACCCTGTATAATACAAAAAAATTACATTTTAATATTATAAGTTTCTAAGAAAACGAGGTTAAAAAATTACGATAGGAAAAAATGCCTTGCTCTGCGACAAAAAGTCTGTCCGCTCCTGAATAGTGAGCTAGGTGTTGTAGTAGACAGAGTCAGTGCTGAAATAATAAAAGATTTATCGAGATCTGATTTGTCTAAGAACGAAATAAAGTTAACGATTTGCTGAACTGATAGGGTTTAAACCTGATTCCAGTTAATGTGCAACTAGGGTTTATCCGGCGGTTAACATATACTAAAATAAAAGTGGTGATTGATACTTTAAATTTTCACATATTACGGATGGGGGCTTTAAACTTTCTGAGAAAAACAAAAACTTGATAATCACTTAATTTAACAGCAATTTTACTATTTTCAACAAAACTGACGCACTCTTCAACAAGCTATTCAACTCTGCAAAAAAAATTATATTATACCTGTACTTAACTGAAAAATCGTTTCGAAGACAGAATTGCAGAAGTTGATACTTTTTAAACAATACTCTTTATTCAGCTTTTATATAGTATAGATCAGCTGCAGTAACTCACAAGATACCAGTACTCTAAATTACATAACCATAAAATTGGGGAAAAGATTCCTAACTTTCGGTCACCACGGTACGTTGACTGATCGAGACTCTTTCCCTTGGCGAAAATTAGTGTATCGGGTGCAATATTCCCATTTAAGTGAGAACACAATGTAATTCCAAAGTCTTAACGTAGTAGGACGTATTTCAGGTTTGTCCTCTTACCGATACTAAGGTCAACCCTGGCGGAACATTTTGCTAAAACAGTCCCCCTGAAAATAGGGACAAGGGGCTGTAGATCCCCTACAAAACTTACAGACCGTTGGCTGAAAGAAAACCTCCTCTTTTATAGCTGCTCTTGTTATAGCACTTATAGGTCCCGACCGCAAAGTGTTAATTATTACCCTCTATCTATCGCTATAGCGGTGGCCTGCCTAGCAGGCACTAGGAAGTGATGCGCGAAAAAACGAGGCGAGCGACGGAGACACGCGAGTCTCCCTCGCGCGCCTCTTTTCTTTTTTGGCATATTACTTCCATGCTCCTTCTACACAGGCTACTAGCTATAACGGACACCGAGCTGTATATTTCAACATTCAGACACAAATACTTTGCAACAATTTTTCATCTATTATGATCTTTTTTTTTGTCCCTGTGGTAGGATTTAACGTGTGCAGCTGCGCATCATTTGAAATTGCAGGTATTTAAAAGCAATTTTGACTTACCCTATACAGTTATATGTTTTCCAATGAAATTCTCCTTTTACCCCGCTAGTGCTATAACAAACCTTCGATAATCAGGACACTGTAATTGCTAGCCATGATACAGTTATTTCTCATTTACATTTTCCCTTTTTTACCAGGAAAAGATTCGACCATGATTTTTTTCTTTAGACCAATGGAATACTATGCGTGCAACAAACCCATCAGAGTGGTTATCAACTAATGGCAGAGAAAAAGTCCTCACTCGTTAAACAGAAACTAAGTAGACACGTATCAAGTAAGTTGAAGTTTCCATCTCCCGTGGATTTAAGCAATTATCCTAATTAAAAACGTAATCGTCCAAAAATGTCACCTCCAACGAGAATAGACAACTCCTTAGTAGCCTAATTCATGGTCATCATGAATATGTTTGACTACGCGATAACCGGGAGCAAATTTAAAAAAAAAATCCTGAATAAATCAGAAAAGAGATACAAGCCTAGCCTTTAACTATGCAGATAAAATACATGCCAAGAGATTACGAGGAGATAAGTGTGAAAAACGTCTTTTCAATGTTAGACTTACTGTTTTTACTAATTATACAACAAGAAAAGCTAATGGAATGGCATCCGAGTAGAGTTACAAGAACCAGAATTCAAGTTATAGGGGTAATTTTCAGTGACTTTTTGATCAAGGGAAAGGAAATTTAGTTTGAGTTAGAGGGAATTCGTGTTATCCCAGTTCGAGTCATAGGGGTTCTTACTGTATATGGTCTCTTTTCTTAAGCAGGGTCTGGGTTTGAAGATCTCGGCGGCAAAACTTTACCAAACTTTCCTTGAGTGCACCCCTCGGGAATGGTCCGTGATGTTTTTCCTGAGATTATATTAGTGAGTCTTTGGACTGGAGCGCGATGTCCGTATATTTCCTTGGTTGGAGTAAATACTTTTGTTATAGCTTAACACAACAGTCTATGCGACTGTTCTGATGATTGTTGAGGCAGCTTTCTCGGAAAGAACACCCTCTCTGTCTCGTTCGGTCATGAGTCCAGTCCTGGCCTTGAGTATTGCTGACCAACCTCTACTGAAGCTGTCACGTGGGAAAGGTCCATGCCTATGCCATCGCATTTTGAAAATCAAAACCGCCATTTGAGAAATCAAGCGCGATAAAGTTTGGAAATCAAAGATTAGCTGGAAAATCAAAATGAAACACTAAAACAAAAAAGTGCTTTTTCTTTTTAATCAAAGACAAAATATCAACAAGACAAGAGTCAAAATAAGTGAATTTTATAAGTGATACTCCTCGAACACGGTAGACATCAAATATGGGAAGAAGATATTTAGTCATGGGTCGAATCTAACTCTTTTCTTTTATTCGTTTTTTTTTTTTTTTTTACCTCATTCAATAAGGGCTCTTTCAGCTACTGACTTATTGATTCATTGATGATATTTTAAGGTCTTTTATGGTTTTGTATTTTTTTGCCTTATGTTTGCAATTAAGGGTGTTCCGGCGGGATCCGACCCACTAGGGGATGTTCCAAGGTATTCTCGGGTGCCCTTAGGGTGTTCCAGGCCTGGGGCCTGTTTCTCGAACTGTTCCGACAGCTCTTCGGCCCCAGAAAGCCGTTTCGTGTTTGCATTCAAGATTAAGGTTTCAAACATTAATTTTGAAAATCATATAAGACTATCAGTTAACGAAGCAAAATTGACTGATTTTTGAGCGAGGAACTGTGCTACCATTCAACAGGTGTTGATTTTAAAATTTGCCTTCGGGCCCGAAAAGTTTCCAGGCCTATCGAGAAACGGGCCCCTGTTCCGGGTTCTACAGACATCCTCAAAAAAGCAATAGGTTTGATGAGCAAAACAACAACTCTACGCGTGCATCACGCTTTTTTGTACATTTCTTTGCCGTCCCTGCAAAACTAGGACGTGAATTTCACATTTTATGGAGGATGTAATCAAAGGGCGACGATTTTTTCCTTCTCTCTGTTTACTTGAATGCGGACTCCTAGTAACCAACTCCCGGGTGATTCGCCTACATTTCACATTTTTCAGCGAATAGCCCACGTTCGATATAATAAAGTCTGACTTGGCTCCCAGGCTTTCTTTCAATATTTGGTTTTGTATTCTTTGTGCTCAAGTCTCTTCCGAGAATTGCGTGAATGGAGCCATGAAAAATTTGCAATTTTGAACCTTAAGCCTCGGAGTCATGTTAGAATTTTTTATATTAAAATATATCGATCGTGGGCTATTGTAAATGAAAAGGTGACGTTTTTGGTGCCGTCGCTGTCGTCAGAACGGGAGCGGACATGTGTAGTGCTTCTGGGGCGGAGAATATTCGTTTTTTTCCTTTTTAAATGGGCGTTTTTGCCTTTGTTTGACAGTTTTGCAATTTATACCTTAACTAATCAGTCTGTAGTCATTTGTAATACAGAAGTTAAAATAAAAAATTCTTCGTCATTGGCCCTTAAAAAACATTTTAAAAATTCAAATATTTTAAAAATATTTTCCATGCAAACTTTGCACCTAAGCGTGACAAAACTCATCGACACTGCTTAACACTTGAAACTAAGTTCTAAGACCAGCGCTCACCAACACGTCATTCTAGTGACTGAAGCTAGTTTTTTTAAAAAGTTGTTCACGAACGTTGATGACGATTATCGCAATACAATTACAATCGGAATTTTTTGTGGCTTCCGCTGAAGTGTTAAAATACCTTTAAAGAACTTCCCGTTATAGGTCCGCCATTCTCGCACCGCAAAAATAATCGCCTTTTAACCTTTTCATGTTGGCTAAAAACTGAACGTCAATATAATGTATTTATTGACGTCATCTTTTAAACCCTTTTCAAGCCTGAATGGACTTGTGCAGTCTTACAGCAAGCTGTCGGATCGGCAACAAAAGTTAAATATAAATTTGCTTAATTTATTCCCGTGTTATATTTGAATTTCAATATATTTTGAAGTAAATAAGGAGGGGACTGAGCCAAAGCACTTGGTAATAACATGAAAATAGTACTGAAAGTTAATGAATCACGCCGGAAAAGGCATCATTGAGTACAAGCAAAACAAGACTCTCCAGTGCCTTTCTGCCAGTTCATATAGAACTTGACTTCTACATGGTACTTACATATAATAACCGGTATTGTTGTTATAATTGGTGAAAAATTGGCCTCTACATTTATCTCGTGTAGAAAAGGCTGGTTTCTTGTCAATTTTGTTGTTAAAATCCCTGGTTGGTAAGGGCAATATACGCGGTCACAAAATGAAAATATTGGACCCGCAGTGAAGAGCAAAATGAAAAAAATCCAGAACCGATAACCGTTATAGTGTCGTTATTGATCATTGTTGAGATGCAGATTAAACGGATATTGAATATAAAAAAAAAAAATCTTTATAAGATAGCAGAACAAACCAAAGCTGAAGAAAAATGGTGGAAAATCACCTTTGAATTAACGCACTTAAGTTTAGAAATTTAAACGAGGTCATTAAAAAGTTGGGCAGATGGATAAGAAATTAGACTATTTGTGCCTAGCCAACGGCATATTAAGGAACAGTTTTCCGTATCTGATCATAAAGTTGATTTTTTATTCTCCCTTAACCCACCGAATCTCGCTTGAGAAGAAAGCCCGTGAAAAACAAAACTATAGCAAATAGGAAACACCACAACTGATGGACGTTTTAAATATAACTGAAAGTTTGTTAAAACTGTTCAACAGCTCTTTCAACACAAGCAAGCTTTCCTTTTTGTTCCCGTGAGAAATTTGGCCCCAAAAACAGCTGAGCAAAAAGCAAAGATTCTCATCTATTAGCTAGCTTTATTGTAGCTTAGCCAATCGGGTGAAATCCTTTCCTCTCGAGTTTACAAAAGGTCCACATGTTCGTACAAATTGATGAATATGGACATTCCCTCCGGGCTCAGTTGATTCGGCGGCCGGTCGCGTGCGTCTTTTGTTCGAGGGCCGCTATTTGTAAATAACTTCCATATATGGTGTGGGTTAATTTTCTCACGAGCCTTGAATTGCCACAAAAGTTCCCACGCTCATCGGCTAAACCAACTGACTTTACACTTCACATTGTTGTCGATGTATTGTTCGCCATTGCAGTTCATCTAAGTCTGGCGGGCTTCCCTTCGTTTGAACACAAACACATAATTATTCGGGAACGCTGTCGATTTTCGACATCGATTTGGAGCCATTTTAGTTCCTATCTAGAAATTCGTGGCGCTGAGTAAACTGCGTTTGGATTCGACTGCCGTGTAAGCCGTCTCCACCGTGAATGAAACACGTTGCCGGCGCAAGTTGGATAAATTGAGCCAAGGTTTGCCTTCAAAAGTTTTATGAAAAAGTGCCTTTCTTTCGAGGATTGCGAATAATCGCTTCCAGACATTTTTGGTATCACTTACTTCGTTTATGGATCGGCTGTAGTTGAAATACTATGCCCCCTACAGTTTTCTGGATGCGACATTTCTCTTCGATTTGTCCATTTTAGAACGGGTCTTTTCTAAAGGTATTTCCTTTGCTGTGTGTACAACACATCTACAAGAAAAATCTGAGAGAAAATGTCAGAATCTCATGCCCAAAGGGCGATTTTTCCTAGCGAATGTCCGCGTGAAGGATCAATGTACACACACACTGGATTGATGGTTAGAGATATGGGACATCGCTATCACAGCGTTAAACGTTCGAGGATTGAAACTGGCAGCTTTTCTTCATCAGATGTTTTTTCACCAAGTGGAATCATTCAAGCGCCAGTATTTCATTCTCCTATAACTTCTACCATCGCTGCGAGTTTGCCGACGCAGTCGGAAAGCACATTTTCAAGTAAGTCTCAATGCTTTCTGAGGACGTAGTCCATGTTGTTTTCGCTTTTTGTGTGTGGTGGATTTATGAGCTCATATTCTGAATATTACGTGGATTACAAAATGTAAACCAATCCCTCTTGTTTAAATATTTATCAGTGAAGTTTGCAGTCGCTTTGTTTGTCCGTCGCCTTTTAATTTATGAATTTCCAAGTTTATTTCCTGCCAAAGATGCTGTGTTCGGCATTTTGATTAGCTTCGAATACACTTACAAAACGGGAGTGTATATTAAAGGTTTTAGCTGGAGCTCATAGTAAATGTACAATTTCGAAAACGAGATTAAATTGAAGGCAATTGGTTTCTTCCTGAGTGGAAATTAAATTGTCTAGTGTTCTAGCATTAGCCGTCATTTACTTTTTTCAGTTGAAGAAACTAATTTTGACAAGTAAAAGAGCATAGTCATAAAAATGAGTCTCACTTTTCATGCTTGAAAGATGGCTTTGTTGGAAACGTTAATTTCCCGGAATTTATTAAAGGTCAATTACTTTTACAGTATTTTGCTTTTCTCGGACCTAAATTGTCGATGGTATTTGTATCACCACCAAGTTTCTATACATGTACTCGTCAATTTATAATTTGCAAGAGTTACTTTGTTATTAAATATTAAAGCTTAACAAGTATTTCTGCTGTTGCGAGGAATCGAACTTGCTGACAGGACGGAAGATGGCGATACGATTTGAATATTGTCATCTTGTCACAGGAACTGCATTCTTTTTCTCCGGATAACCAACTTAAACTTTAACATGGTCAACCATTTGTGGAATGAAGAATTTAATGTTATTGTTTATAATTAGCAATGTCTTTTCTTTAAATAATTACATAAAAAAGGGCGAGCAATGCTCAGTTGCTATGACACTATTTAAATTCGTTCTTATCTAAGCCCATAACATAAAACGTAATAGTTTTTCTGGTCATCAACGTTTTATTGCTTTTTTCAAACACCATAGAAAATCATGATCAGTAATTATATATACACAAAATAATAACTGCTATTCCATGGCAAAGCTTGTGTTCTGATTGGCTACCTTACTTGCTATTCTATTCGCTTATAAATAACAAAGTTTGGAAAAGTGTAATTTCAAGGGAAAAATCTTCACAAGGAATAGGCATGCTTATTCATTTTCTCTGTTTGTGTTTTTTTGCTGAATTTTGAATCAAAAGTAGCAGATAGCATTGTCCTTTCCAACACAGTGGAACCTCTTTTAAATTGTAATGTGCCAATATCCATGTTTACTTGTTACAACTTAAGTCCCTGGAAAAACGAAAGATATTCTTCATCCCAGTAATAGTCAAATATACAGAAAAGTAAAACTTCCTTATAGGTGAACGTATTTTGCCAGGACCTCTCCCTTCATTTTCATTTTATGCAAAGGCATAATAAATTATACTGTTAGAAATAAAGTAATATTATGACTCAAGCATGGTTGATTGTGTGTCATTCATCATTTTGCGGGCCTTTTTATTTTAAATCTTTCAAAAATGCAGCTACACACTTACATAAAATCGAAGTATCCTTTTTAGTAAAAAGGTTAAAAACCGGGGAGGATATGAGGTTTAATCCAAGAACTATAAGTAATCTTAATTCTTGCACTGGATTAAAATGGCGGTTTTTTAAATGTAGTGGTTTCTGTTTATCCCTTTCCGCTGTTGTTTCGCCGGCTCTCTACGTATTTTTTTTTGAGCGACAGTGAAATATATCAAACTATGAGATCCAGAAATGTTTTCACTTTTCACCAGATGAAAAACTCCTTGAGTAAAAGAGTTGATAAAAATACGGCGCGCAAGCAAGCTGCAATAAAAAGCGGAGATTTTTGGCGCGAAACTTCGCACAGGTGTTTCATCTGGTGATTTTCTCACTGTGAAAAAATGATTTGATTATTTCGTTTTTTCAAACAAAATCATTTTTGAAGGAGAAATTAAGGATGCAAATACTAAGCAGTGTTTCATCCGATTTCCAAACACTCATTAAACATTAATTTCCTTTGTATTTTCTTAATGAATTATTAATGAGTTTGAGAAGTTTAGTTCAAATCGGCATACATACTAATGTCAGACTTGCCAACCCTGAAAAGGAAAAAATCTTGAGATTCTGGACCTTAGGTAGTGAGAAGTTGGGAAAAGTTGTGAGGTGTCCCTCATTTCCTGTGGGAGGACTTCAAACTTTTCGAAAAATGTAAATTGGTGGGTGGGGGGGAAGGGGGATACTAACAGTGAGACCCTCTTAGTGGGGTACATATATCCCTACTGTGTCTGAATTTCAGTTAATGGTTGTTTTGGGTTTTGAGGAGTGGGCCATGTACCTGTGGATGTTCAACCCATCTTTATGTCATTTGTCACCTTTTCATCTAGTCTTATGCCACTGTTTCAAGGCCATGCAGGAGCGCGTAGCATCCATACACGCACATACACCCCTGTGTACATGTACAGCTGAAATAAATTATGGAAAAATTATACACTTTTTATTTCCTGAAAAAGCCTTTTTGCATCATTTAATCGGGATGACTGGTACATTTTTCATACTATATTTGTGTCTTTGTGTTGGTATTTCCTTTACCTTTTATTATTCCTTAATTCTGATGGTGTCACTGCTTTTTTTCCCATAAACACCCTACCTTGCCAAAAACACTAGAGATGGGTAAAATAAGCAACTGAACATTTTTTTTATGGAAAATGCCCTGCAGAAAATGCTGGAAATGGCTTTTTCAACATCCTAAATTGAAAAGCTTTCTGGTGGAGTATGCCCTCTGACCCCCCTACGCTACCTACCTTAAAACTTAAATTCTTCCCTGTGTGCGTACACCTTCAAAATCTCACGCTACGTCCCAGCCATGTCGTTTGTTGGAATTTTACCCAAATGGGGCCTCAGCAGCTTTAGTGATTTCAGTACAGGTACCCCAAGCTCACGATTGAGTGTTGCATAAGAGAAATATTATAAGGGTTTGTATGGAACATTTATCAGTCGTTTATATTTAGGGCATTAAAATAGAAGCAAAAATACATCAAAACTTCTTACCTTGTCTCCTTGTCTGTTCATGTTCTAAGCATTTCTATATTATTATAATGCACTAAATAATGATGAATAAATTTTCCATACAAACTTTATAATATTTCTCTTACACAACACCCACTCATGAGCTTGGGGTACCTGTGATTTCAGTCGTGTGTATCTCTCAATCCAATACTTTTTTCAAACAGGAAGGGGACCTTATCAGAGAGTAGCAGGGGGGTATACGTCAACACCTAAGCATGGACATGAAGGGGTGAGAGAACCCCGTAGTTTAGCAGTGCAGTTAGCAGCAAGCAATCCAAGTCCTCCTACCACTCCATCCCCTCCACCTGAGGATGATGTCGATAAAGACGGTTATCACAAAGAAATGTGAGTGCTTGGTTGTACATTGATAAGGGGCCTTATGCAATTATATGCAATGATGCAGAGATGCCAACCTCTGGAGATCTGCATTGTATAATGTGGAGACTGTCTTTCACGAAGTACCCACAAATCAACCCTGTCCCCAAATTATAACATGGGTGTGGCTCAAACATTATTCAAGTGTTTTTTTTTCCCAAAATAGTCTTGTCTGTGAGAGTTATTATTGCTGAAAGGCATATTGCGGCATCAAAGGCAGGTCTCCAGGCTCTGCTGCCCAGTTTCCCCTCCCCAAGCTTTTGCTTGGCTCTCTTCACCTTAATCCTTACTGTAGAGCCTGGTCCCAGGCTACTGGACACTGGGAGAATTGTCCCGTGTCCGTTAGAGTTGCATATGTGAATGATGATGACATCATCTCACACACTATACTTTATTTCATGCACATCATTTTGCCATCTCCGCCCGCAAATAGCAAAAGCTAGACAAGGCGGGCGGAGAGGAAAGGTTACAAGTTCCTGTTGAGTTCTGCTTGGCCATATGCTACACAGAGGACCAAGTTCATGTGAGATACATCACCCATCTGTAAGGAAAATTGGGCCATATACCAATCAGGATTTATTTAATTTTGTTGCTCCGAATTATAAATGAATTGTATCAGTGTGATCAAATGTTTCTCTCAATTTGCAGTGGCTCTCATCCACGGCTGTCTAAAGGAGCTATGAACAAATATCTTAAAGAAGTTGTTCCAAGAGATGGTCATCAAACAGTCACTATTTTCCATGCAAAGGTGGCACAAAAATCATATGGCAATGAAAAAAGGTAGTAAACTACTCCCAGAGTAATGTCTCAATTATTGGCCTTTTTCAAAAAGCCATAACCTTTTTGGTGTGTTTCCAGGGTCTGTTTTTAAAGGTCAATTTGGCAGGCACAGGTCATTACTTCCAATTAGTGTGAAAGTATAGTAGACCTTTTGGTCTAACAGTACTTTTCAAAGAGCTGAGGATTTAAGCCAAAAATCTCTGTTTGCAGACAAGAGTAAATTCTTTCATGTTGGTATTATAGCTACTCTGCTGCTTAGAAGTACAAAGTTGACACTTGATCCTCAGTTTAAAATGAGAAGTCAGTATTAACAATTGAGCAAAATATCTATTACAGGTGACTCATTGTTACTTTATATATGCAGGGGTATTTTGCAGAACCATAACTGCCACTAAATCCCTAATGACTCTGAAGTTGAGGGAGAAGGGTTTAGCAAACTAACAGAGTGAAGTTCAACTTCAGTTCACCCTGGATGATGACCCTAATTAGAACTCAATTCACCCAGTTTTCTTAAGCTAATGACTCCAGGCTCGTTTGGTTACCAGCACTCATTTGACTTTTTGCAAAGTACACATACATGGAACCTGCCATCACTTCTTGATTCTTGTAAATAAAGAACTACCCAGAGAAACCACATATTGATCCTCTTGATTATCCATGTTTAAAGACAAAAGGACATGCAAGGGTGAGCAAAAAAGCGTAGGGGTGGGTTTCTTTCCTTCCCCACCCCTCCCTTGCCTCTTAGTTAATGCTTCTTTCTACCCCATGCCCTTGTGCATCTTGTGCCCTTTACAGTGCTGTCAAGTCTCTCAGATAATCCGGGAGACTCCAGATTTTAGACCGTATCTCCCAGTCTCCAGATTAGAGTCTGAAATCTCCTGGATCACTGAAGTTTGCCATTTCTTGTAGACTCAACATTCCAACCATAAGATTTTAAATATTTTGTGTTGTTTGAGCTATTTTTAAAATTAACTGCTAACATGGAACATTTCCTCATGAACTCCGGCATGCCATTGTAATTTAAGCAATAATGTGGCTTCCTTTACGAACTGTTTTATGCGATATTACGTTGATTGGCATCAACAAGTATTTCTTGCACAGTCAAATGACATCATGTGCCATGCCGATGCGATATGACATCATGTATCATGGGGGGTTGACAGCCCTGCCTTTACCTGCTTGGTTCAAAGGAAATGGATACAGGTGCTATGCAGGCTGTCAAGCAGGTATTATACATATATATTATAAATTTTCACGGGATTTTTATTTGTGTCAAAGGTTTTTTTGCCCACCTCCTTGCGTTTATCTTGTGGGTGAGCGCTGGCAGTCAAGGTTGCCTGAGGAAGAAGGAATAAGTCAACCAGTGGCTTTTATTGGAATAGGAAGTAAAAATGAACAGGAAATGCAGCAGCTCATTATTGAAGACAAGGTTAGAGAGTTATAACAACTGCATATTCCTGTTGTGATCAATACATCATTATTTAAAGAATGTGATAAAAATGTTGAGAAATTAATAATAATAATAATATTTAATATTTATATAGCGCAAATTAACATACGGGAGTGCCATTCTGCTGAGCGAGAGGTCACAAGTTCAAACCCCAGCCGAACCAAATGCTCAGGGTCTTGAAATAACTGAGAAGAAAGAGGGGGTGTTGCCTTTGTACAGTAATGACAATCATCTGCACATGGTTGGACTTTCTAGTCTTCTCGGATAAGGATGAAAAAGCACAGGTCCCATCTCACAATTATGTTTTCACTTATTTGGTTCTTGTGGAATGTAAAAGAACCCACACCACTGTTCGAAAAGAGCAGGGGATGTAGACCCTGGTGGTGTGACCAATCTTTCCTGGACTGGGTGGGTTATTTGTTAGGAGATATCTTAAGATAGGGATGACCTCTTGATCCTCCTTCAGTTGTCATAATGGCTACCCCTGTAAACAGTGTATATGTGTGGAGCAGATGGTTGCTAGATCTTGAATTTAACGGAAGTTCAAGGTGTTAGGGTTAGGATACATTTCAGTGACGGATCCAGGGGAGGGGCCTGGGGGACCCTGGTGGCATGTAAACCAGCCTTTTAAATTACTTTTTTTTGTTTATACATCACGTCTGAGGTAAACAGTACTATGAGGCACTGTTTTTTATTTATCATACAGACCTCGGACAGAATTTTTTTGCCCTATTTAAAACTATGATTCTGTAGTTTTTCACAATTTTGCAAGACAAATTGCACTCATTCAATCAGTCCAGGGCGATCGAAGCATGCGCTTCCTTTACACAACAAATTATAGAACTGATCACATTATGAAATGTTTTCATGAAGAGAATTCAGCATAATGCAGCAAGTGTTTGGTCAGAAAAATATGCTCCTATGTCATATGTAGGGTAATAAGTATGGGCTTTTAGTGAAAACAATAAAAAAATTCCCAAACTCACCTATACGGCCAGCCGGATGTGTTCTCACTTTTGACAAACACCGAATTTCCAGTCCCAGCTGTCTTGTAAGGAAATGAACATTAACAGAGTTACGCTTCAACATGATAGAGAATTTGCTATGTTTAGGTTTCATTTCTCTTTGTTTCTGGTTTTGTTATGTGTAATCTTTAAAAGCATGTGATATTTACGCAAGTCATTTTGAGTACTCCTGCATGTGATGTTTATGTATGACTGAAAACAAGCGGCACAGTGATTAAAATTGCAAGAGATACTATAACTAACAATCAATAAAATAAATATAATTTAGTGACATGTGTACAGAGACAACAATTTTCATTCACGAAGACAAGTATAATTTGAGGGTAAAGCGTCTCTGAAAATCATGAGCTAGGGAAGCATTAAAGCTTATAAACTATATACACAACCAGACAGATTTATGTTTTAAGCCGGCTTCTCGGTGTACGGTCACCTGATTGCCAAATTTTCTAGGATGAATAGAACCTGTGATCAAATAAAATGTTATTGGAAAACTTAAAAAAATACATGACCTCAATGGGTAGAAAATGGCCCCATGTTACAGTCAGGCGATGACGGCCAGCGGATTCTCTAGTTTGACAGCTGTCAATTGACCTTCCCTAGAATGGTGAATATTCGAAAAAAATGGACTGTCGACTGTGAGTGTGAGTAAATGTCAGATCGTGTACCTGAGCCCACGTTATTAGTTTCCTGATAGTGGTCTGCACATGTCCCATTTTGACAGCTGTCAATTAACCTTAATTTGGCTTGCACATATAACTTTAAACTACTGACAGCCCTGCCCTGGGAAAGTGTAGTTTCATTAATATTTTGGTAAGTGTGTTATATTATATTAGCTTAACTGTAGGGGCAAAACTACTAGTTTTTCATCTTAGCCCGTAAGATGGTCATGTGATAATTGTCAGAGGATGTCCGATTTTGACAGCTGTCAATTCATCCTCATACTGATGGCTTACATAACTGACAGGCTGGTGTCAACATTTGAACAAGATCTAATGTGACACTTAACATCGGCTTACATGTAGTGGGTGTATGGACGGTCGGCGTTCATACGCTACGTCATGACCAAATTTTCTGGGATGGATAGTTTACCAATTTTTTTTACCCATGGTGCCGCTCTGCTGCACGCACTTCACACACAAGAGCTGCGCTAAGAAAAAGATCAAGGGACTTTAAAGGATTTGTTGAGAGATGGGAAAGCTAATAAGCTCAGAAGCCCCAGTTCCTCAGCTGGTGGAAATAGTGAATTTTTTCTGGAGCAACACCATACAAATATAGTAGTTATTATTAATAACTTTATAAATATTTATATCTTGTCAGGGTTATGGAGCTGCTAAAACATTGTACATATCTGATTCAGACAAAAGAAAACATTTTGAATTATCAGTAAAGGTGAGTGCGCACCTTACATTCATCCACAGGTTGGTTTTAGAATCTTTTGGTTTTCGTCATTGCCATGCACACAATACAACAATCATCCTTACAGTAAACTGAAAAATACTATAATTTTGATTTGTTGTGAAAACAGGTGCAAGATATTTTGCTCTTAAATATAGATCAAAATTGACCAATCACATAAGAGGGTACTTCCATACCTGAGATGCCAGGAAAGCTCAAACGGTTTTGAAATTTTTCAGTGGTTGCATTGTTGAAGATTTGATAATGTTAATGAGATTCAGTTGTTTTGAGAGAATCGCTGTGATTGGGTATTCTTTTACCAAGTGCCCTATTTCAAGTATCTGCCGCTGTAATACTTAAAATTATAAAAGGGTATTGTCACAGAAATTCTCGACATATTTATGAGTACTTTTTCTTTTGTATTAGCCTTGCTTGCAACACCTAGAGTATAGAACTTCCAAAAGAATCAATGGAAGGGAAGCAAAAATAGTAGTTCCAAGCAATTTGTCATTTTTTCACTTCCATACTTATAAAGTACTTTTGTCATAAAGTGCTTTTACTTTTTTTTTTTTTTGTACTTATAAAGTAGTCTTCGTACATTGTACTTTTAAAGTACTTCTCCAAAAAAAAGGAACATTTTTAATTAATACAGGTTTTCATTGTTTTAGGTACATTTTTGGGTTTGTCCATGATTTTTAATAGTGCCTTATTAATGTTTTTATCAAAACGTGCATTTTTAAACTCTCTTCTTTGTTTTAGTTATTATATCCAAGTGGAGAGCATGTTGGTACATTCAACTCGAAAAGAATAAAGGTACATGCCTGCATATTAAAAATCTACTTACTTTATGTAACCTTGATAGTGGTTTGGCAGATTCTAGTGGGACAAGCAAAAAAAAAACAAATCATATGGCCTTTTCCTGTAAAAAAAATTTACCTGAGCATTGCTTATATTAGTTTCTCCTGGGTCCCCTCAAATGCTGTCACTAAGATTCCCTGTGGCCAGGTATGTGCAGGTATCTGCCTTGGTCTTATATTAGGCTCAGCTGATAACACTTACCTTGACCTTGATTATTCAATAAAAAACAAAAATCCTCATCCAATAATTCTTTAAAAATGAGGAACTAAATTGAACTGAAGGTTACAAATACCGACTAGTTTAACTGTCAATGACCCGTCCAGTATTATTATTTACAATTCAGTTGATACATTCACCCATTTTGAACATACCGTTTCAATTTCCAGGTTATTTCAAAGCCATCCAAGAAAAAGCAATCATTAAAAAATGCAGACTGTAAGTATATTTTGAATTAATATGTTTTTAAGTGTACTCTGTATGTTGTTGAAGGCCTTTGTAAGTTGCAATATTTTTAGATTCCTTAGCCTGCAAGGAAAGCGTTTTCTTGGGGCGCGTTTTTTTGTTTTTTTTTTTTATGCTCGCAAAAGCACCATGTTGAAACTCCAAAAGAGAGGAGGAAATAGGGCAAGTCAAAGGGAGCAGGGGAGGGGGTGGGGAGAGAGACAAGAAAATGCTGTATTTTTCTCCCCTCCCCATGCCTCCTTTTCTTCTTTCGCCCTAGCACCTACCCTAAGGGTTGCTATTTCTACTCTCCCCAATGTTCCTTTGTCAGAATATCAAAGACGGCAGCTACAATAATACAAACATAAACAAGCAGCTTTCACCTGCACTGCAGGCTATGAATACCTCTGCCCTCTGGGTCTCGCAGTATTGAGTGCAAAAAGCACTCTGGATCAATCTGAGTGGATTGTTTATCGAATTAACTTCATGGCACTTAATTTTTATTTCAGTGTGTATCCAATCTGGCTCCACAGTAGCACTTTTTAATCGTCTCAGATCGCAGACTGTTAGCACACGTTATCTTCATGTAGAAAATGGCACATTTCATGCAAGTAGTCAGCAGTGGGGAGCTTTTACCATTCATCTGTGTAAGTAAAGATAAAATGATTTATAGACCTATCTTTAGTTGATCACATTTCTAAAATTTGCCTTTAATTTGAGAAACAAAAATAGTAATATTACCAAGCAAAACTACCACAGGAAAGGTTTTCCAGTGTAGTGCAGTATTGCTTTGTTTTCTTTGTAAGCTTCACATTGGCAAACCAGCAGTGTTTTATTTAAAATGTCCTTCCAAATAACTTGCGAAAAGAGGTTTTTTTGTGCTGAAATTGTATAAAATTGAGGGAGTCTGCAGGGCTGTCACTAAGATTTCGAGTTGCTGGGTATTTGCAATTAGAACAGGGCCCAGTTTTACATTGTTTGAAGGATGATTAGTGCTAAGCCAAGGATAAATTCAGTTTAACCCAGGTTTCTGTTTCCTTTGTGGTTCAAAAGCATTTTCTTGGATAATTTTCTCTATTCTTGTTTAGAGTATCCAACCATCAAATTGTAGACAAAAAGAATTAAACTAGAAGTGCTTTTAAGCTTTCATATTTGGATTCAGATTTTGTGCTAACCTTGGGTTATTTTAACTCTGCTTTGAACAACCCAGCCTAGAATTAGCAAGCTAGGAAGTTCTCTTGGTTCCTTTTCGTTTTGTTTCCCATGAAAGTAACCTGGGATCAAGCTCTGAGTTTACAGTGTTTTGAGATTTTGTTGGTTATTTTCAGTGCATGATGATGAATCTGAGAGTGAGGAGTTTTCAGTCAGGGAGGGTTATGTTCACTATGGTTCAACAGTAAAGCTTGTCTGCTCTGTTACAAAGATGGCATTACCCAGACTGGTATGTATCCTCTACAGTATGTATGTATATATATATATATATAAACATTGACTTGACCAGCTGGTGATAGAAGGTCCATGCGCGTGTTCAGATTGCGTTATGTGCATTCCAGTCATGCTTAGTGGAAGTTCAAACGAATGCTGACTACGTACATGCGACGCATGCATAACAAAAACCTGAAGATTGCAGACTCTTCAAGGCGCCTGCCATAATCTTTTCAATTTTTACAGTACAGTTAAATATTGTAGGGTTAGAATTACGAATTGTTCAAACATTTTCAGAGCTGCATGTTACATGTATGTGACTGTTTTGTTATCAATTAATTAATTATTATTTTTTAATTTAACGAGTTCATGTGACAAAATGTGTGGCAAAAAGGTCATAACTTTGAATCTGCCGTCCAAGCCGCCGCCTGGTTAGCTCAGTTGGGAGAGCGCTGGTCTGCTGAGAGGGAGGTCGGGGGTTCAAACCCGGGCCGAACCAACACTTAGGGTCTTTAAATAACTGAGAAGAAAGTGCTGCCTTTGTAATGACATCTGCAAATGGTTAGACTTCCTAGTCTTCTCGGATAAGGACGAAAAACCGTTAGTAGATCCCCGTCTCACAGCACTTTCACTGATCTGGTTCTTGTGGGACGTAAAAGAACCCACACAACTGTTCGAAAAGAGTAGGGGTCATGGACCCCGGTGGTGTGGCCAGCCTGAACGGGTTGTGGGATTGGGTAGAGATGGCACCTTGCATGGGACCTATGAGTCCCGTTCGTGCTTATTCCCTCTGGGCAGGCCTGTGTCCAAGAAAAACTTGTAAAACAAAACATAAAACAAGTTGATCCTTGGGAAGTGGAAACGAGTTTGGCATGTTATGTTTCTGTCAATAGTGGCTCACGAATATTTCTCGTAGTAACGCAAAGCAATATTATTTTAAAAATTCTAACTCTCCATGCTTTTCACATGGTTTGAAGTCTTCTAAAATTTAATATAATCAAGTTGCAACATAGAAACGTGTTTTTCAGCCGGCACACTAGTTTTGCCGGCTTTGAATCATTTGGAAAACAGTGTTAACTTTACTAATTCTGCGGCAGATACATGTAGCTCTAATGCCCTTTTGCAATGCATAGCCTGCGTAGCATGGTGGGTTTGGTCGGGCGCGCAAACAACCAAGGTGGGGGCAGTCGCGGCTTCGCCGCTCAGTAGTTCGCCCGAAAAAACCGCCATGCTACGCAGGCTAGCAATGCACAGTTTTTTGATTTTCTTTTTTTGTGTTTATAGGTAATACGAAAAGTTGACAAGCAGACTGCTCTGTTAGATGCTGATGATCCAGTTTCTCAACTTCATAAGGTACATTTTAAAGAAATTTGAACCACTCAGCCGAAAAATGGCAAACTTCTTACATAGTGTGTAAGTTGATTTTTACTTATGTTTTTTACCATGAAATACGTAAAAAAAAGTGTGAAATAACAACCTGGTTACTCTTTAGGTGGCCTTTTATATGAAAGAAACTGAGAGGATGTATCTATGTTTATCACAAGAAAGAATTATTCAGTTTCAGGTGAGTTAGTAGCGACCGCCGCCTGTATGTTCCTTAATCCTGTTTGGTATAGTAAACGTCATGCATTCGTTTTACTGCTCTTGTTTATGGTAGAGTTGTGCGTTCAAAAAGGGGAAGGAGAGGCTGGCCACACGTGCAAACAAATCGTTCAATGAGTAAATGTAACTCGGCCGTCTGTGGCTGGCAATGTTTTTTTTTTTGCTCGTATTTACGCCACTTTTAAAAGTATTTTAAGTTAGGTCAATCTCTTTAGCGCTCCTACTCCTTAGACTGCTTATAGTTCAACATTTCTCTAAAAATCCACCTAGTTAGTCCTCCTAATAAGCAGTGTCGCTAAATAAGGTGGTTATAAATCATTCGTCAGTCTCTGGTCGTTTGTTTTTTTTTGGGCCGCGCAAGAACGAAGGAGCTCTTCTCGTCTCTAGTCATGCGCAATAGAGAAGAGTTCCGAAGCGGAGAGTGGCGAATGAACGAGAAAGGATCCCTCGTCGCCCCAATCGTTCCTGTCCCATTTAATCTTATGTGAGCTTTTTGAGCAAGACTAATAGTCCAGTTTCGAGTTCGCTATGACCGCTGAATTAAAGAAGTGAAGACGCATTTTTTACAGGCTTAGCCTGGTTAATACTCGTCTCCATACTCCAAAATTAAGTTGACACATTATGATTCATACACAAAGTAATTCTCTACAAAGGAAGGAACCGCATTGACTGTCAATGCTGATTAGGGTTAAGCCCTGAAAATAGTGATTAGGGTTAAGCACTGACTCGATAAACGGTTAGCCTCAATGTGGGGTTAGGGTTGATCAGGGTTATAGGAAATTTCGCTAATCCCTGCCCCCCGTCAGCAAATCCTGAGTGGTGTAGCGGTGTAGCCGATTCTACGCTCCGGGTTCGATTTCTACTCACGCCCATCTGAATTTTTTTCCTTAAAAATTGAAGAGACTTACACTTTCATGAACATTTCTCAAGCAGAAATTTCAAGAGACATATCACAAATTCCAACGAGAAAAAGACCTGTTTGTTACTCTGTTTATTGTGTATATTCACATTTCAAACACTTACTTGCCGGAATTTCTGAATATTTTACTTTATATCGAGGCTAACCCTGTATGAATGTGTCGTCGATGTTCGTATTCAGCGGTAGTTTTTAATTCGAAACTGGGCTATTATTTCGACAGAGAAACCGACTGCAAGTACTCTGTAGTTTTTTTATCCCTTACCTTCTTAATACTACATGTATAATTGCTTGTAAATTGTAAACTGTACCTGCAGTATAACTCAAGGTGCTAAAACAACATCTGGTGCCTTTTACTTCAAATAACAGTAAACTGAAAATCTGCCACCCGTTTCCTAGGCAACACCATGTCCGAAAGAGCAGAATAAAGAGATGATCAATGATGGAGCTTCGTGGACGATAATTAGTACAGACAAATCAGAATATAGTTTTTATGAAGGAAATGGACCCGTAACGTCACCCATCACTCCTGTTCCAGTTGTCCATAATTTACAGGTAAGAAAACCATGACAGGACAGGACAGATACATAAACTATCCTATATATATGGCCCGTAAAAGCCTTTTTTACGACTCTTCTCTAAATTAGCCCCAGTTCTATTTAGCACCCTGTATTACGTCCTCTAGTGGCGACGGCCCCGCCATCTCTATCGACCACGTAATAAATTTCGGAACCTCCTTCTACTAAGTAGCCCAGGTTGGCTATATTAAATATTGTGCTCCAGTCTCTTCTGGAAATTGTGAGACCATCGAGTCTTGAAAAATTTGCAATTTTGTCCGTAAAACCACGGAGTCATGTTTGAATTGTAATATATCGAGCGTGGGCTATTGCGAACATTCGTACCCAATGCTACAATGGAGGACAAAAATCCTTGGAACGGTTATGGAAAACCTTCCTTCCACATCCTTAACTTATCAAATGTTCAGATGTAGCATAATATGCTCTTCTCTAAACACTTGGATACCGCGACTGGCCCTCCCCTCCCCCCTCCAAACAATGTTGGGATGAAGAAACACTTTTAGGACAAGGCTATTGCACCAACTACAACACATTCGTTAATTGTCCGAAGAATCCTAGGTTCAATTTAGATCTCTGGTAAATTATTCCCTGCCCTTAACTAAATCGATTTTTCTACACTTTATAGCAGACGGAAGTCAGATAACTGCTTTGCCTTGGTAATTTCCTGTTCAATTTGGAAAGTTTATGAATTTTTAAGCCTTATTTCACCCTGTTTAGTTGAATGGTGGTGGCGATGTGGCGATGTTAGAGTTGACAGGGGAACATTTCACCGCTAACCTGAAGGTCTGGTTCGGGGATGTGGAGGCGGAAACTATGTACAGGCAAGTAGAAATGTTATATGAGACTCCATCACAAAGTTTTGTGGCAGAGAACTGGAACTGACTTGAAGGCAAGAAGAATATTCGTACGATATTTGCACGTAAAAAGGTTGCCCCTCATAAGGCTCTAGTCTGCCAACAATACGGACGAACGAGATCGATCCCTGATATTTCAACGGAGTGTAGAATCCACTCCACTCCATCCTTTGAGCTGGGAACCGCAAGCATATTCTCTCTACCTTTCAGCCCTCTTGTAAGCTAGCAAATATTCTGTTCTGTTCTTTATGTATTTGCTATGAAGTAGTCCGAAGACTCGCCTTGCCGCCTGTTGGCAGGTGAAGCAAAGAGACGGATGACATTTCAGACTCGCTATGAAGTTGATAATTAGGAGAATTTGTGCGAAATCAAGACGTTTTGTTTTTGGCCTACATTTTGTTATCCTATGATCTTTTCGAGGAGCAAGGGGTTAGCACAGTCGTTATTGCGTGGGCGGTCTTCTGTGAGAGAGGTCTCGAGTTCGATTCCCTGGAGGAAGCCTGAAATCCTTGTTTCGACTTCTTTTCTTTCCATGTAGCTTTAAGAACAGGGTTCGTACAGAGTCTTGAATTCTTGCCAATGAAAAAGTCTGGAAATTTGCCCAGCAATTTTCCAGACCTGGGAAAAGACCGGAAAATGGAGTTAAAGTCTGGAAAAATGGTAAAAAGTCTTGATATTTTTTTCGTTTTGGTCAAATCTTATTCAATGTCTTCTCTACGTTTGCAGCGCATCGTGAAAAAAGCTTTATTCCTGCCTTTTTTAGAGGTCTCTATTGATCACCTATTTGACAACCTTGAGTCTGGAAAAAAAATTATTATTTTGGAAAAAAGTCTGGAAAACGTCTTGAATTTGGGATCCAAAAATCTGTACGAACCCTGCAAGTAACTTAATACCCGTAAAATGGGGCACTTACTTCGGGAGAGGGGGTAAATGAGTGCACCGGTGGCCTAAGGTTTGTCGGTCTACTGAATACTGTTACGAGTTAAAATAATGACCTTTACCTTATTAAGTTTATAAGTATGACGTTATAAGAACAAATTAAATACCGATCATTAATTTTTTTTTTTGCTTATTCTATCCTTTATATTTCCTTCACAATAGGTGTGGCGAGAGCCTTCTCTGTGTAGTTCCAGACATATCGGCGATCCGTGGTGGTTGGAGATTTGTTCGACAGCCCACTGAGGTGGCAGTTAGCCTTGTTCGTTCTGACGGAGTCATTTATCCTACCGGCTTAACATTCACCTACACCCCAGAACCAGTGGAAAGACCTTCCTCATGTGTAACAGAAACTGTTCTCAGAGCCGACATGTAGAACAATTCAGACTCGTCGAGTAGAATGCCTCGTCCTTGTCCTTGGAAACGGCTTGGCAAAGATCGAACCACTGAAACAATGGCAGTTTCCTTAGTTAACATTTGGCGCTTGAGCGAAGCATTTGATGCATCGAGCACTCACTGACTAAACGCTGGGCTAACAGCCATTTTTAGCAACAAACATTATTACCATGAATGCGACCTTCGTTCTTGACATTTATATCCCAACAGTGGTAGCCTGCGTGGTGGGCGAAAACAGGGGTGGGGGAGGTGGAACAAAACGCACAAGGGAAAAAGTAGAGGGTTGAATATATATTTCTCAAAAAGCTCTATGGATAGTTTTTTTTTACGACGGCAAATGATCAACTGAAAAGTCGCTCAGACAGCATCTAAATTTTTCCAAATAATTATAACTGGTCCCCTTAGCCGG